CCTGCAAGTCATCACCACATCCCTGCCACACTGACACCCCAGGTTCAAATGCTGTGACTCGGGCCCATTCAAAATATCCCACTGGAACAAAGCTTAGCCTGGCTGTTTAAGAAAGCCATGAAGACAAAAAAAAAAATACAACTTTTGCATAATACTCCTCACCACTTAAACCAGCAAAGATATTTTTTAAAAAAAAGATAAGCCCCAGTGTTGCCTCAGCTGGCAAACAGGTATTTATATATATGCTGCTTTCAGAAACATCTCAGCCTTTGACAATAGAAGGCCAAAGAAGAAACAGACCCATCAGGGTTATCATGTCCAACTTCTCATTTTTCAGAGGAAGGAAAAGAAACTGGAACTCAGATTGTCAAAGGCCACGCAAGTTATTAAAGGCAGAGCTCAGATAATCTGATAAATGGTACTTGCTCTTCCGTAAGCACTGAGCATTATTCACAAATGGCTTTCACATCATTATTTTCTTTGAGCCTCACCAAAACCGGATGTTTCCGCAGCTGAGAAAACTGAGGCTCAGTGGGTTTGGGTGATTTGCCTACATCACCTGGCTGGTAGCTCCAAGTCTCATACCCTTTCCACCAGCCAGCACTGTTGCCCAACCCATCATGGCAGTCTAGGTAATGTGTTCCCCAGCTTCAAGCACACAGCCTGTCAAGTACTAGGCACTCAAAAATTAGATGAATGAGTCAATACCCAACAACTACGAGAAAGCTAAGCAAATTGTGGGTGACCAACAAGATACAACATGGTCTTTAAGAAGGGAGATGTTGGTAAGCTGAAATCCACATTCAGTGAAAATGCAGAAGCTCACATAAGAGGGCCACAAATCTTCTAGGCCTCCAAGACAGGCCTCCACCTGTTTGGCCTCAACTACCCAGAGCTGCCTCACCTGATCACCCTACTTCCCATCTCTTCTCAGCCAGTCTCAGGAACCCGCAGGGGCTCCCTACTGTCCACAGTGCCAAATCCAAATTTACCCTGGCCTTCCCAGGCCCCACCAGCTGACCAAACCCAGCTGTTTCCTGAATTACTCACTGACCCTGGCCTTTCCTAGACTCTCCCCCTGACCCCCGCCCAGAGCCCCTCCTTTGTGCTGCCAGATCCAGCTTTGACTCGTGGTGACTCCCAGTGAACACTGGTTCCTTTACCCATTTCCATCAACCCCACATGAAAAGGGCAGCAGCGTTTTTTTTTTAATGAAAGTGTATTTACATGATCATTTTTTGAACTTAGATGATAACCAAGGTCACTGGAAACGGACACAATCAACAAGGACCCCATTATCAGGCACTCTCATTAGGGTTTCCAGGTATAGAGGGAGGAATTGCCTCATGAAAGCTATCCAGTCCCTTTTTGGGCCTAAGCGGTCTTGAGTTCTTGACTCTTCCTAAAATGGCTCCCTGGAGGCAGCAGGATAGCCTAGGCTCTGATGCGAGGCCCACCTCTCCCTCCCCTCTGAGCCCCACCCCAGAGCTGTCCCAGAAGTCAGCACCCCAGGTGCATTATCAGTCAAGTCTCTTTTTCTCTGAAGGACCCAGCTTTTTCATATGTGAAAAGGGGGAAGGGGAGAGCAAAACTGGATGGGAGGAAATTAACTCCCCAGTTAGAAAAGGTTTTCCCTGTGAAAGCTCTCACCAAGTACATCCAAAGCTGCTTTCGCTGGGAGTCTACAAACCGTCACAGCAAATATACCTCAGCCATCCCCTCAGTCAGTGCACACAGACTTACCCACTACAACATCCCACTGTACCGAGGTCCCAGAGTTGCTGTAACCGGTCAGCTCTCGGGTGAGGGGTATGGAGTGGTTTGCAATTTTCCACCCAAATGAAAGGTGCTGCAAAGAACAATCTTGTATAAGCACTTATCTTTGTTCTGTGATTATTTTTCACCACAGATTCCTATAAGTGGACTTACTGGCTTAAAGGCTGCACACATTTTAAATTCTGATATTTACTAGTTGAGAAACCTTACATGGTAATTCTCAAACTCTACCTGTACGTAGGTTTTACCTGGGGAATTTTTTAGGCTTGGAAATTCTGACACATTACAGCCTCCCTCAACCTTCCAGCCTTCCCGCTCCCTTCCCCCTCCAGGAAGTCTGGGGAGGGTCTCTTGGAGCTGCTTTGTTATCCAGCTCCCAGGTGGCTCTGCTCCAGGCTAAGGGGAGAAAGAAGCTGATCCCTTCCGTCTACCCCAAACTCTCCTCATCGAGCACAAGGGGAAGCACTGGCCTAAGGAGCTGCCACTGCCTGAATCTGTCCCCTACAAATTCTCTGGCTCCAGCCAGGTCCCCAGTGACTTCTCTAAAATGAGTAGTCAGCACAATGCCTGGTGCGGAGCGCCAGGGACAGTCACATCTCCAGGCTCACCTGGCTGCACCCACCTTCCCTTCCAGGCCCCCCTTCTGAGGGCCCCTGCCCCACACAAGCTCTCTGATCCTAGTGGCCATGATTCACGGTTTTACCTTTCTTACCTGAGACTTCCCCAGCCTCCCTTTTCCTCTCAGAAGGCTCCCATATGGTGCACTAAATCCTCAAGAAATTATTTGGGGGATCCATTCTGGGCCTCAGTTTCCTCATCTTTGAAATGGAGAGTGCTGGGCAGTGGCACTGACAATCTTGGTGCTGCTGTGAGAGGGGTGGGGTGGCCAACTAGGTTCCAAGTATTGCAGGGAAGTCTGGCTTCAATGGGGGAGTCCAAGTGCACCTCAGTCATTTAATCAACATTCTGATGGGCTTAGAGCCTTTGGAGAAAATTCCATTTCTTTCAGAATTCTCCATTGTTACAGTGCAATTAAGACCAAAAAGTGTTTCAAGTTTCAGGGTTCCTGATTTCCAAGCTCAGCAGTCCTGGACATCTGGGACCAGATGAGGAACAGAGGCCCACAAAAGGCCTTGCCCAGGTCCAGGCTGACTCTATGCTGGGCTGTGGGAGGCAGTCTCCCCAGAAAGTCAGGCGGGGGGTTGGAGTGGGGGGCGGTCAACAAGTATTTCAGTATGTGGTACAGAAAGCAAAGAACAGGGAAGAGAGCGCTGGCAGGGCTGGAGAAGGCTAAGGGGAATGTCCAGGAGTTGGGAGCTGCGGTCAGAGGAAAAAGAAACCAACAGGAGCGCTCGGAGAGCCTAGACGAAAGGGCTCCCTCCTAGAGCCTGTCCCAGCGGGGTAAGGACTCGGGTTCCGCTGTCAGACCCACCCGGCTGAGTGACACTGTTGACTAGGACAAGACCTCTCTGCAGGGTAAGCCAGGGACTAATACACAGTCACACCTACCCCACAACCCGAGGATTAGACAGGAGGATTTACACATGAAGTGCCTAGCTCTGCGTCAACTGTTACACACTCCTTAAGAATTGGCTGTTTTTACCTCTGGCTGCTACTTGTGTGCCAGACCCTGGGGCTATGTGCTTTCGGGTTGTGTCCGGGGCAGCCTTCTACCCGCTTCTGCGGGTCCTTGAGGGCAGAACAGGCGTCGCATTCAGAGCCCGGTTCTTACCAGCTGGGGGTAATCCCCGGAATAACTGGGCCTCAGTTTTCTCTCGGTGCAATGGGGACCACCACACCTCCGGCGGGAGATCCTAGTGCAGCGGGCGTTCTTAAAAACGTCTGGATTTGCATTATTTCTCCTCTCAGCAATGGCCCTTCCAGCGAGGAGCACACAGTAGGCACTCCGGAAATGCTCTCCAAAAGGGGGAACGAACACTTCCTGCCCCTGAGGGAGCGGACTATCCCGGTCCGATTCCCGTCGCTCCTCCTCGGAGGCCATGTGGCATTCCTGAGGGTGGGGGTGGGCTCAGGAAGAAGGTGCCCTCACGGCCCCGCCCCCTCCGGGCGCGGTGGGCGGGGCAAAGCCCCTCGCCGCCGTCGGCCCGCCCCACGGGGGGTGGGCGTAGCTGACCGCGCTCCGCATAAAGTTTGTTTTCTGCCTCCGGGTGGGTGGGGGAGGGCGAGGAGAGCGCCGCGGGGAGGAGAGGGGATCTGACGTCAGGCCGCGAGGTGCTTTCCAGCCGCGAGCTGTCAGGCCGAGTGTCAGGCCCGGCAGGTACGCGGCGCGGTCGTCCGGCGCACCCCTTCTCCTGCCAGAACTCCCGGGACCGAACCCAAGGCCGCGTGGACGGAAAGCCGCTCGGGAAAGTCAGTGCGGGGCGCAGGAGTGGGACAGATGGGCGCGGAGGCGCGCGGACAACTTGGAAAGTTTCTTTTTCTCGGAGGGCGGGGGAGGGGGCGTCGTCCGGCTCATGCGATTGTGGGTGTGTGAGCTCCGGTGTTTTGAGTCCCGGCCGCGGGGTGCTAGCGGGGGCTGGTGGGAGGCTGCCCTACCACCCGGCAGGAAGCTTGTTGGGGGCCCTTTTGAGGGGCCCACGCCCTCGGATCCCACTTCGGGAGAGAGCCGACCCTGCCCCGAGCTGGGGTGAGCGCGCGGGGGGGGGGTGGCGGGTTTGTTTGGTTTAAAAAGTGCACGTTGCTAACCGCCGGCAGCTCCCCCCGCCCCCGCCGCGGCCGAACCGGGGAGAGGGCGGCTGAGAATGACAGCTGCGGGTGGGGGCAGCGGGAACGGCTCGGAGCTGGGGAGCCCGCGCGAGTTCCCCTTTCCTTTGGAACAAAGGAAAGTCTGTCTCTGAGGCATCTGTCACTCCCAGGCAGGCCAAGGAAGCGGGGCGCGTGGGGCCGGGGACCCGAAGAAAGTTTGTGCGCGCCGGGACCCTCGGGCAGGCCGAGCGTGAGCCGAGCCTCCAGCGGGGGAAGCGCGCAGCGTCTGAGGCAGGGGGCGGCCAACATGGAGTCTGGGCGCAGGGCTGCGGTGGGGGGGCGGTGCGGAGGTGGGAGCCCAGCCCCCTCCCCTCCCCCTTCGGGCCGAGTTCGGAGCACAAAGCCGAGCGCGCAGGCTCGGCCAGCCCCGCGCCCCGAAGAGTCAGTCTGCGCCGAGCGGCGGGGGAAGGGGGTGGAAACCAAAGTTTTTCCTGCCCCGGGACAGACACGTGAGTTTTCTTTCTTCCAGAGCCCCCGCCCCACCGGGACTGCAGGCCCGCCAGGGGACTGGATCACCGACTCTTGACGCGGGCAGGGGGCGCTGAGGGGTGTGGGCGTCCCGAGCGCAGGCTGATTCCCCTCTGCCCCGGGAGCCATGTGCTCCGATTCGGTCTGGGCCGCGGGGGAGGCTGCACGCTTTGTGTGAACTGCTGGGAATGCAGCGCTAGTGCGCGGCCCGGGGGAGTGTCCGACTGAGCTGGGGGAGTTGTCAGAAAGTTGGTGCGGGAGTGTTTGTAGGTCCGCGTCGTGGAGCGTGTAGGAGGGCACACCGGGTGTTGTGTCAAGAGGGTGCAGCCCCAGACCAGTTAGGTTAAGAATTGATCGCTGTTGTGATGACGTCTGGAGTTTTCCCAGCCTAAGAGATTATGGGTGGGCAGATATCTAGGAAAAGGGCTGATTGCGTGGGTACCAATTGTTCGCGCTAGATGTGGGGTTTGTAGACAGTGTGTGTGTGTGTGCTGTATTTGTGAAAATCATTGGCGTTCCAGGGGTTGAGCGTTGGTGCCTGTTTCAAAAGTGCTGTAGAGTTGCCTGGTGTGAGGGTTTGAGTGTAAGATGTGTATGTGGGAAACCTCAACTGTATGCGGACTGGCGAACAGGACACTATGGTGGAGAGGTCTGTGTAGACTGAAGGGTCATCCCCACGGGTCACCCCTGGAACCCTGCAGACTGGGATGTGGCTGGCAGCCAGGGTGGAATTTGTACAGATAACCTTGAGTAAACGTCTCACAGCCTGCAAAGGGCTGCATCCCAGAGCCCAGATCCTAACTGCCCTGGCCAGCTAAACCTCAGAAACTTGACCTCAGAAAGCAGCCTGCAGTCGGTGCTCTCTGAGGAGTGGCTCTTCCAGCCGATGCCTGTCTTGCTTCCAGGTGGCCTGGCTGGGAGGGCAGACCCTTCCCTCGAAAGCCTGGCCTAGTCAGCCCAGATATCTGGGCTCAGACCCAAGTTGAGGAAACAAAACCTGGAAGATGCCATAGTCTTGGCCCAGCCTGCTGTGGAGCTGTTAAAAGGCTGGGGAGGGAGGAGCCTTGAGATTCTGGCATCAGCTTGGGTTGGATTTAAAATGGATTTAAAATGGATTTAAATTTTGGTTTTAAAATGTAAATTTCTTTCGGGCGTGTGAACCAAGAGTTTGTCACGGATGGGCAACTGAGTTGGGGTTTCTAGGGAAATGCCTTCCTTCATTTGACAGGTGAAGAGGAGGCTCAAGCCCAGAGAGGAAGAACACTTGCTCAAGGTCATATGACCAAGTTGGAGAGCCCAGGTTTGCTTATTTATATGGATTTTTGATGAGTTGATTCCAGGACCAGGCCATGGGCTAGATGACAAAAGAATGTCTGAGAGACCACCTGTAGGGATGACTTGACGCTCTATCTGCAAGGGTACACAGACGTGCAGTAGAGGTTACATGGGCTGCTACAGGATCATGGTGATTGATAGAGTTTGCACACTCCTAACTGGTCTTGAAAGACCTGGGAGGCAAGATAGTATAGAGTCGGGGGAGAAGCAGGGACAAACTACCTTGCTCCAAACCCTACTTCCAGAACCATGACTTGCAGGTGAGGTTTTTTTTTATAACAGTTTTATTGAGATGTAATTCTCAAGTATGATACAACTTACAACTTACCCATTTAAAGCAAACAAATCAGTGGCTTTTAGTGTTTTTACAACTACAAAACCATCACGGGCAATTTTAGAACATTTTTGTCCCTCAAAGGAGATTCCATACTCTTTAGCTATCACCTTTCTATGCTGCTCCAGCCCATTCTGAACATTTCATAAAAATGGAATTGTACATGGTTTTTGTGACTTGCTTCTTTTACTTGGCATATGTTTAAAGTTCATCTACACTGTAGCATGAATTGGGGCTTCAGTACTTTCTATGACCTAATAATAACCACTGTATGGGCAGCCACATTTTGTTTTGTTTATCCATTCACCTGTTGGTGGACACTTGGGTTGTTTACACCTTTTGACTATTACAAAGAATGTTGCTATAAACATTTGAATACAAGGTTTTGTGTGAACATAGGTTTTCATTCCTATCACATGGTAATGGCCATGGTATCTTGGATGGCTTTCTTAATCTCTCTGGGCCTTGGTTTTCTCATCTCTAAAGTAGTAGTGAGAACAGTGTCTCTCCTACAGTGGATTTGTTAGGATTGAATGAGATAATGAATGTAAAGTACTCAGTACAGAGTGTGGGAAACAGACATCAATGATGACTATAATTATTTCTAGTCTGGTACTTACTGTTAGTGAGCTGCCATTTATTTTGTTAGTCATCTACCAGCCCCATGAAATGGAGGCATTTTAGACTCATGGCTTCTATCTTGCCCAGGCTATGGTATGGCTTGAGACTTTGAATTGCCCGTCCCCCGTTTCTGGTGTCCCAGGCTCTAGTAATGGAGTGTCTGAACACTACAAAAATGGTGTGGCCCTGCATGATGACAATGTCCCTGTCCCCTTTGTCACTTATTCCAGGCTTGCCCAAGGTCCAGCCTAGCCTCTAGACACCATGTCAGACAGTGATCTGGGTGAGGATGAAGGCCTCCTCTCTCTGGCAGGCAAGAGGAAGCGCAGAGGGAACCTGCCCAAGGAATCGGTGAGGATCCTCCGGGACTGGCTGTACCTGCACCGCTACAACGCCTACCCCTCAGAGCAGGAGAAGCTGAGCCTTTCTGGACAGACCAACCTGTCAGTGCTACAGGTAAGGTGTGGGCAGCAGAAGACCTGGCTTCTAGCCCTGTCCTAGTCCTGTCGCTCACTGGATGGTACTGGACTGGTCACCTCCCCACCCTTGGCCTCAATTTCTTGGCTGAGATGAGAACACCCACTCTCTCTGCCTCAGAGGAAGACAGCGAATGACATGAGACCATTACAGCTAGATTTCAGATTTTGGAAAGTTCTGAAGAGGTAAAAAATGCTTATTAATGTCTGAGTGTCATCATTAACATAGGAGGGTGTGAAAAAAAGGCGTTGTGTGGCGGGGTTTTGGCTCTTCAGCCTGAGAGATGCTTGGGTGGCTCCTTGGCTGCAGGAGGTAACTGGTGATCTGCAGTGCAGTTAAGAAATGAGTTGGAATCACAGTTAAGGAGAGAGCAGAAGTCAGATGTTCTGGGTTCAAAACTCAGTTCTGCCACATAGGAGCTGTGGACCACACCTTAATTTCCTCACTTGTAGAGAAAGGATTAGAATCTCCCCTCTGGGACTGAACTGTTGGGAAAAACACCCCAGACTGGACATGGAAGTGCTTTATAAACCACGCACATGAGCACACTCAAAAGACTGTTATCCACTTCTTGTCAGAGTTTAAGGTAGTAACTCCTTTGAATTGCCCTGATTGGTGACCTTTAGGTGTTTCTGGGTTTTTATGGTGCAGAACACCTTGAACTACCACTGTGTAACCTTGCCTCCTTTTTGCCTCTCATCTATCTGAGAGACACAGAGCAGGCCTTCAGCCTAGCAAAGGCCATCTGCTGGCGCCCACTGCTCCCTTCAGAGCCAGCCAAGCCTCTCTCCCAAGCATCCCTGCCTCCCTTTACACCTGTACCATTTCTTAACCCATTACATCAATCCATGGTGCTCGCTCTCCCTCCTGCCCTTACCCAACTCTGAGCCTCCTGTATCTTCCCAGCTCCAGACCCCGCTCCATGAAGCCTCACAGTGAGTCTTCAGCCCCTAGAACTTGTATCACCTGACTTTATACTCCTGCACAGTGGTCAGTCGGAGTCTGTCTGCGAGAAAGGCTCTAGAGTTACAAGACCCTCAGATCCCACCTTCTCCACTAGAGGAAGCCTGAAGCTTCACCAAGTCACCGCCTTCCTCACCTGAAAAAGGGAGAATGTTTACAGCACTTTCCTAGCACGTAAGGAGGAGGGCCTGAGAATTCAAGGCTCACTGTGAGGCGTTTGGCACAGAGCGGGTGTCTGTGCTCTCCCTGTCATGCTCATCTCTCCTGGGTCACAGCCTTGAACTCACCCCATGAGTCTCGCAGTGCCTCACACCTCACTGTGTACTGTTGAGCACCCCACTATGCCCAGCTCTATGCTGGGCAGAGTTGGGATCCCAGAGAGCAACCAGACACATTCCTACCCTCAAGGAGCATCTAGCCTGGAATGGAGTAGCAGGGGAAGACCTGGCCACTGATATTTTCAGAAAGTGATCCTTGCTGGAACAGAAGGCAGCAGAGAATAAGGGCAGGGCTTCTGAGCCAGCCCAGAACCCTCAAAGGACCCCCAAAAGAGGTGGACTTAAACTTACAGATGTAGAATATCGCAGGTCAGAGGCTGGAGCCTGAGAGCAGTGATCACCCAGACAGTCTGCTGGTCCTCCAGCCTTGTTCCTTAGGTCCATTCTCTTCAACACAAAAGTATAACTCTGACTGTGTCTCTGGGCCTCTGGGCCTTCTCCCTTGGCCTCTTTCTGACCTGGCTCGCTTCATTTAAGCATTTTCTCGTGAAAGCATTCCTTGACTCCCCCAGCCTACGTTTGAGCCTGCTGCTGTGTATTCCCAGTGGGCTTCGTACCTGTGCTGTCAAACCACTTGTCACACTGTATTGAAATTGCTTTTTGTCAGGGACACGTTCTCAAATCTGATTTATGTACTGACTCTTTTTTTAAATTTTTTTATTAAGGTATCACTGATACATACTCTTATGAAGGTTTCATATGACCAACTCCTTTTTTAAAGAAAGTATTTTTCATCAGTCCACCTTCCCCAAGCATGTTGACTGATTGATTCATTATCACATCACTTCAGCATGTACAAACAAAACTGGGTAAAAAAAACTTACTGCTTTTTGCTCTTATGCTCATTTTTATGACCAGTTTTCCAAAGGAAATAAATGTGAAACCAATGAGATTCCACTATCTAACTGCATTAATGTGGAATGGGTGGTGTTTGGCTGACTGGGCTGTGGAGTATAGAATGACAGGCACTAACTTGGGAGTGGAGTAAATGTGGGTTGTCAGATGCCACAGTGTTCCTACTCACTATCAAAATGTAAACAGAAAACCAAAACATTCTTGTAGAAAACTAGTGGACCCCTAGGATGACATATCGCCAGGTTCCACTTAGAGAAATGTTACGTTTGGGGCAAGGATTGGCCGCTAGAGACTTCAAGGAAGGGCACTGGGTCCCAGCATCCCGTGGTCGGAGGGGTTCCAGTGGAGGCCACTCTGCTCTAGGTCATGTGGAGAGTTCAGGAGCAGTGGGGGGCATTTGGCACTCCCTGATGGAAATTGTGCCAAGAATCCCAAAGAGCTCCAGCCAGACACTTCTGCTTGGAGGTCTCACGGCACCTTGATTTCCTGACTGATGACAGGTAACTTCTGCAGGGTGGCTCCTTCCTTTTTCTAAGGGGTTCTTCCCAAGATAACCCTTTCTCACCTTATTTGGTCAGTCACTGATTCCTACACATTTACCCCTGAAGTATTTCTTTTCTACCCTGGTCCAACCTGTCATTGTCTGATCACTTGTCACCTTCTCCTCCCCACTTCCCCCCCACTTAGAACCCTTCATTGTCTCCCACCAGCCTGATGGCATCACCTGTCCCTATCTGCGTAGCAGGCCTGTCCCTGGCCTATCATACTGCTGCCACGCTGATCAGTCCCCAAGATGACTTGCCCCAACCCCAGACTCCGCACCTGTAGAGGAGCTGTACCCTTCCACAGCACCAGGACTAAGTCAGCATTTTGGACACTTGACTATCACTGCTTTTCAGAACAGAGGCCTAGTCTTATCCACCATTATATCCCAAGTGCTCAGTTAATTCCCCGTATCTGGTACGTGCTCAGTAAGTAATTGTTGAAGTGAAAAAATAAAAGTGTTGGAATGTCCACAGACAGGGCCTCAAATAAAGAAATATAGTGACTCCTCAATCTGGAAAAGTTAGCTTAAGTCCCTGGAGGCAGCTCTCTTTCTTGATTTAATTTTAGAAATTTGTTTATCAAGAACATTTCCAAATAACCACAAAAGAATATTATAATGCACCCCTGGTACCAATCACCTGGCTTCAACAAGCATCAACAGTTTGCCAAGCTTGTTTTCTCTCTCCCTGGGGACCTCTTATTGTCTCCTTTAACCAGGAGCGATCTCATTAGCAAGTCAATGAGTCATGTAACTAACTGGTTTGCTGGTACTTGCCCGGGGCTAGGCAGTTGGGAGAGAGACCAAAAAAAAAGTCATTTATGGAGTTCCACAGATCCCTGTGACACCTTCTAAACTCACTTTATTACTGTGGTTTCTGGCTGTTCAAGGGGTAGGGAGGGAAGGGAAGTGTGGCAGGGTGGGTGCAGGCCCCATTCCTTCACCCTGTAATGCTGGGTGGGGGTGTCCCTGTGCCAGGCCCAGTGTTTGATGCTGGAAACATGGCAGTGGAATAGACTATCCCTGCCCTTGGGTAGTCCCCTGGGGGAGGGAAGACATTATTGAAAGGATTAAGAATTCAGTGTAATTAATTTCCAACATGCTGTCAGCAGAGCTGCCCTTGTTAGGAAAAGCTGCTCGCAGGAAGTCGCATTTGAATGGAGTCCTGACAGGCCAGAAGGAATGGGAGGTGAGGGGTGGCAGTCCCGCTGGTAAGGGCGCGTGGCAGGAAAGGAGCCTGGCCCTTCCTAGCGCAGGCCGAAGCAGTAGTGAACTGCGACGCGCAGTGGTCCGCCCCGGCCCTCAAGATCCTTTGTCATGAGTAGCTGTTCTCTTACTCTGGCTCCAAAGCTAAGTGCCTCCCAGTTCTGCCCCCTGGCAACCTCTGTCTCCCTACCTCAAGGCCATTCTTTTTTGCTTGCATGGCTTGCCCTACAAGGACAGGTTAAACCAGTGGGCAGCAGAACTCTGGGGAGCTTGTTTAAAAACACACATGCTGCCTCTGCCCCCACCCTCACCAGATATATAAAGTGGATGAAAAATAGCTATTTTTTAAAAACTCTCAAGGTGATTCTAACAACCCCAGCTGCCTTTAAGAGCACCTGGATATAGGGGGGGTCACAATACAAATGGAGGTACTGCAATGTTTGAGAAAGGTCTCTCCAAGGCCTTCACTTCTCTCCCCTCTTGTACTTTGGTCTCTCACAGCTGAAAAGATACAAAAATTACAGCATTTGTGTTGCCTTCTTCAAATGCCCTGCTCTTATCCTCCTGGCCTTCATCAGCTTCCTGGTGCCCCTCTTACTCCCATTTGCCACAGTGATTCCTCCCTCATCCTTCATCTCAGCCACTGATTAAAAAAATACTGACAGGGCAGCAGCCTTTCAGAGACAGCCAGTTTTATGGTAGAGACAGGCTTTCAGGCACCCAGCCAGTGTTTTGCCATATCAGTTTCAGAATTCACTTTGGCATTCGCATTCTCCCTACCACCTTCCCAAGGACCCTGAGTGGAGGCAAGTCACGTGTTCTCCTGCCTCAGGCATGGGCCAGGTGCTGGAAGAGGCTTTAGAAAGCCCTGATAGCCCATTAGCACAGCTGGTGCTGGTGGTGAGCTCAGGCCTCCTGCCCTGGCCAGGCCCCCCTCAGCTGTGCATTTCTAAAGACGAAGAAGACAAAACACACAGCAGGCTGCCAAGTTTCCTTCAGATCAGGGTGAGCATGTGGGGGAGTGGGTATGTATGTGGGGTGGGGGGTGGCAGTTCTGCTGTTCTCTTCTCAAGAATTATAAGCCAAAACAGGAGGCACAGCAAAGGGCTAGGTGCCCACACAGCTGTTAGTAAACGCTCAGGTTCTCTCCAAGACTGCTTCCTCAGCAAAAACACTTGTCCCTACTTCACTTGACCCAGGGCACTGGGACCTGAGTGGTTCCTGCGTGGGGTGGAGAGGTGTCGCGCTCCCCTGTAGCACAGGTAGCTGAGGAGGCAGCTGTGGGATGGAGGAATGGAAGCGTCTGAGCAAGAAGAAAAGGCCTCAGGCTGACTCCCTTCAGTCCTTTCCACCTGGCACCAGGCTGTCTGGATCAGATCAGCCTTTGAACTTACAACCTTGAGCGAGTTACTGAACCTCTCAAACGGGGATCTCTGTTTCATGAATGGTTCAAATGCAGATCATTACAGGACCTGTTCATAGGCTGTTGGGGATTACATAAGACATCAGATGGGAAATGTTTAGAACTGCACCTGATTTGTCTTGTTTTTAACAAGTGTTTGCTTTCAGGATTATGATGATTCAGCTCTCTGTTTGGTAAGTCAGAGAAAGCACAACAGTAGGGGCCAAAGCCAGGGCACCTGGGTTTGAATCCCAGCTCTGTACTTGGATGCTTTGGGCAACTTCTTTCATGTCCTGAGTTCCGGTTCTCTCTTTAGGCCTTTGGGGACACTGCTTACTACCTTCTAGGCTTGTATGCAGATTAAACAATGCAGTAAGGTGGCTGGCATGACATTTAGTATCAAAGGTGCTTAGTTCCCTTCCTGCATTACACCCCACTACTCCACCTTACCTTTCCTTGGGGCTCCCCTGCAGCCTAGCCAAGAGTCAACTCAGCCAGTATCTGATGGCGCATGCTGTCAGGTGTGCTCAGTTGGGCTAGGAGGACCATAGACCTGAAGCAGGTAAATGAGGATCCCAGGAGCAGGATCCTTCCAGCCTGGAACAGAAGGGAGAAGCCACAAGAAGGTTCCCAACCTGACAAGGCCAGGGGCCTAGTGCTGTCCTGAGTTGCTTGTGGAATTGGTGCAGCTTCAGTTTGCTGGAAAACGAGCCGTGTCAACTTGAGACATCAGCTCCTGTCATCAGTGGCTGTCCCTTGATTGGATAGAGGTAGGGAGAGTCCACAAAAAGATGGTGCCCAAGGACTTGCCTAAGAAAGGTGATAAGCAGAGGTAGAAACTGGTGCAGGATCCCTGAGGAGAGCTGGGCTTCTGGTCCATTCAACAAACATTAGAAGAATGTTACGCATTGCTACAGCCTACATAGTTCCCAGCATCCCAGTACATGGGAGGTAAAGGAGGTGGTTCCTATCTTTTTCCTTTTTTTAGCAGCTGGTACCTGCTCTGTAAAGTGTCTGTTGATAAACGGAGAGGAGAGAAGGGATAGGACCAGGACAAGGACTTGGAGTGTAAAATTTAGGATATGTCACTGTGTAGGCCCATTAGTGGTTTACCATGGTGTTCTGGCCTAGTGGGGTCAGCCCTGCCTGCTCTGTCAGTTCCTTAAACCAAACCCTTTTCCTGCCTCAGGACCTTGGCATTTGCCTTTTCCCTCTGTCTAGAATATTCATTCTTCAGCTTTCCGTATGGCTGGCTCTTTCTTATCCTTTAGTTCTCAGCCTTCCCAGACCCCTTATGTAAGGAAACCTCTCTTATCTTTATATGCTACCCATTATTCCTGTGTGTTTCCTTCCTGGCACTTATTGGTGGCTAGTCACCATATATTTATTCATTGCCAGTCTCCACAGCTAGATTGACGGTAAGCTGCACAGGGCAGAGTGCATGTCTGTTTAACTCACAGAGCTATCCCCACCACAAAGAAGTGGGCCTGCCACATAGTAGTAAGCACTCAGTAAGAATTGAGTGAGCACGAAGCTTTGAAAGGGAGACCAAGGAGAAAGTGAGAAGTTTTAACTTGACTATTCTAGTGAATAAAAAAAGCTGGGCTCTGGGGCCCTGTGACAGACAGCCTGAGAAGATTCAGAGAGGAGGGGCTCCCACTCCTCCACATCCAAAGGCCCAGGACTGGGGAGTGCTGGCTGGAGTTGGAATATTGCTTGACTTTGCTAGGCTGAGCTTTAGGTATGTTCATCAGTAAAATGGGATTTGACCAAACTTACAGGGCTGATACAGCCATAAAAAGAAAATTGTGTAAATGTATAGTGCTTAATAAATGGCAACTACTGGTAAATTCTTCCCAGCAAAGGCTCCCAGAAAGATGCCTAGATGTGTGGCTCTCCACGCCGCCCATGCACCACCCACACCACCCTGCCGTACACATCTCTAATGTTTCTCCTCTCCTACTTCTGAGTTGACTAGAAAGTGATTAGGCAGCTTTTCCCCTATGGTGGCTCCTCCAGTAGAGGGCAAGAGGGAGAAAGACTTGGGAAAAATTATAGGAGGTTTTATTTGCCTATTTAAGGAAGCAGTTACTGTTTTAAAACATTTTGTATTTATGAGCTTATACCAGCCACAGAGCTAAGAAACTGTTTTCTAGTCTAATCTGTAACTGTTTTTGAACACTGCCTGGGTGAGCTATTATAGAATTGGTCTTGCCACATCTCCAGGACATTAGGAGTACATGATAGGAAATGAGTGGTTTACTTTTTAGATGGTCAAGAATGACGCCACAGTTAGGTGCCTGCTGCTCTAGGTTATGCAGACACTATTCTAACACTCTTCCTGAACAGTTATCTGTCCTCCTGGCATCATTCATTCATGTACAAAAAGAAACTGCCAGGCCCTGCACCAGCCATAGGTGAATAGAGATGTGCTTTGAATCCATTTCCGCTGTTCTGGACCTATCTCTAATATGTTAGACCAACCAAGACTTAGAGGAGTAGGCATTCTCCAGGTGGATGAGAAGGAATGTGATGTACAAAAGGCATGAAGCTATTTAAAAGGGGGGCGGGGGGCGGCCTGCATGAGAGTTGGTGAGCTATTTCACATGCTAAAGAATATAAGGCTGGAAAGGTAGGCCATGGCAGGGGAGGTTTTAACACCCAGACCCCGAGTCTGGACTTGATTCTCTAGGCAGTAGGAGACAGAAGGCAGTATCTAGAACAGGAACAGTTACTGAATTTTGGATAGAAGTGACAACCAATGAAGAGGCTGAATCGGGAAAGCTATGAGGCTGAGGGTTGTTGAAGAGTCCAGACAGATAGGGGTCAGGGTGCTAGATAGGTCTTGGCTGTGCAGCATACCACTTAACAGAAAGAAACGTCATGCCTCATGCATAGGTCCAAAAACATTGATCTAAACAATCAGACAGGAATAGGGTTAAGGTTAATGGTAGCTTCCTCAGCAGCTTGTAGAAAACATGCTAGGATGTTAGTTGAATGCACATTCAGCCTGGAGCCACTGACCCTGCTTTTGCTTGGAAGTAGTAATTTTTCTTCCACCAGACAATCCCCTGGTGTCTTGTGGTTCTTTCTCTGACCTGCTGCAATACTCAGTAACAGAAAATTAGGAGTGAATCATGCTTGGGACCATCCCCTTTCCTCTTTTATACTCCTTTATCCAACTGGGCACCAGGCCTTCATTTCTAATTTCCCAAATAAATCAAACATTTGTCATCTTCTCATCACTTCCCTTAACATGACTTGAACTACTAACCTTTCTCCCTGCTTCCACCCTATTCTCTACATAGCAAGTTACTTCTTTGCTTAAAAACCTTCTACAGCTCCCTATCATCCTTAGAATAAAGAACCAGCCTCCACTGTAAAAGGTAACCTCGTTACCACTCTGAGCTCCAGCCAATACAGGCCTGCCTTCTCTTGAGTTCTTATAGGCACTCTGCTGCCACCTGCCACTGGGTCTTTAAAGAGGCTGATCCCTCTAAATTGAATGTTCTCCCTTCCTGCCTCCCACCTAAATTACTGCTGATCCTTCAGTTCTCAACTTAACAAGCCAAAGACACTACTGCCGAGTCCAGAAAGACCAGATTGGGTCTTCCATCATTCTAACAGCACCTCTGCACCTTCCTTCACTGGCTGAATCATGGTTGCAATTTTACATTCCTTTGCATGGTTTCTTCTGTAACTCTCTCAACCCAACATAAACCTCTGAGGTCTGAGATTATGTCTGTGTTGTTTGCTGCTATGTTCCTAGGGCCTGGAACATAGGTTGCTTCAGTGCTGGTTTTGAATGAGTGAACTGATCAGTCTTTTATTTTCATTTCAGATATGTAACTGGTTCATCAATGCCAGGCGGCGGCTTCTCCCAGACATGCTTCGGAAGGACGGCAAAGACCCTAACCAGTTCACCATTTCCCGCCGCGGTGGGAAGGCCTCAGATATGGCCCTTCCTCGTGGTAGCAGCCCCTCAGTGCTGGCCGTGTCTGTACCAACCCCCACCAATGTGCTCTCCTTGTCCGTGTGCCCCATGCCACTCCACTCAGGCCAAGGAGAAAAGCCAGCAGCCCCACAAGGGGAGCTGGAGCCCCCTAAGCCCCTGGTGACCCCTAGTAGCACGCTCACCTTGCTGACCAGGGCTGAAGCCGGAAGCCCAACAGGTGGACTCTTCAACACGCCACCACCCACACCCCCAGAGCAGGACAAGGAGGACTTCAGCAGCTTCCAGCTGCTGGTGGAGGTGGCACTACAGAGGGCTGCTGAGATGGAGCTTCAGAAGCAACAGGACCCGTCGCCACCGTTACTGCACACTCCCATCTCCTTAGTCTCCGAAAACCCCCAGTAGGCATCTGCCGACAGGGGTGCTCAAGGCTTGAGCTGGCTGTCCTGGGTTTCCATTTTGGTTCCCCCTCACACAGAGGGTTTTCTTTGGATCACTGCCAAACATTGGGATCATCTCTTCTGTCCAGAGGTCTTCACAGGAAGCTGCCGGCCAGTGTCGGCACACTGGGGTAGGGGCCTTTCCTCTGCCGACTGTGCCGTTTCTCCAGGCCTCCTTAGTGGTGAGACCAAGAGACTGGAGATGGGCATGGCGCTGCTGCTTCTCCAGAGAGCTCCCAGGACACCGTGTTCCAGCCTGCTCTCCTGGGCTGGGCACAGGAAAACTGCCAAGTTCAAGCCTATCCTGGGTCCAAGCTGCCCCTGAGCCGGGCCTCTTTGGTGAGCCAAGTGTGGACATTCCAAGTTCCTAAGTGTGAACAAAAGAAAAGAAGAACCAGCAGATGTAACAGAACCGACTCCAGTTGAATGTTTAGGTTTTCACTAAACTTTGTGTTTATTTTTCCCTTTTTGCTGTGGTTTGCATTAATGGGAGTAGTTAGTCCAGGTGTGGGAGGGCGAGAGGGCATTGCGTGATAGGAGTCTGATGAACTGGGAATGACCCAGCACTGCAACTGGTGATTGTTTTACAAGGAGTATTTTTACTTGGGGGACCAGCTCAATCTCTGCAAAATTCCAGATGGTTGTTTATTGTTGGTTTGGTTGACCCAAAAAAAAGCAGAGAAAAGTTTTATGGGCTTTGGCTTTCTGCCTCAGGCACAGAAGGAGATAAAGCCACAGCCAGAGAGAGGGTCCAATAGAGAATCTGACCAAACCTTCTGGGCGCAGCACAGGGAAGGATGATAAAACCGGAGGTGTTTTGTTTTTTTATTTTTATTTTTACTGTATGGGGGGGTGGGGGAAGTAAGCTAGACAGGCAGTGGGGTTTTTTTTTTCCTCTTTAATGTTTTCTCCTTCTTTATCCTTGAAAGCTTTGTCCTGCAGCCTGAGTTTTGAATTTCTTTCGGAACTTGGATTAGTTGAGCCAGAATATCAAAAGCTCCCAGTCGCTCCCGCTTGGAGAGAAGTGAGCCATCTACTGGTCAGGAAGCCCTTTTAGCTGACTCACATGGGCAGCTTTTCCCACGACGGTGGCAGGAAGCTATTCCTGGAGGAAGCAGAGAATGGTGCCCCAGCTGCCTGAGGGACTGCCTTCAGAGGAGGCTGGGGCTGGCAATCAGTTAAGCCTGTTTTGCTATGTCTTTGTGTTGCACCTTTCTTTAAATTGGAGTTGCCGAGGCCTCTGCTCTGAACTTCACAGTGAAACAGATCAAGGTCTTATTGTCCCTCCGCCTCCCTGTTTTTTATTTTGCTGTTTCAGTGCTGACAGCAACACCCCATCTTCATACTCTAAGAAACACTAATCCTAGGTTATTGTTAGCTGAAATATTTTTTATTCTGAATAACATTGTTACTGGGCCAAAAGACAGGTCAGAAGCCAGCTTTTAGTTTCCTGAAGCTGTAAGGTTGGGCACAAGGAGAGAGTGTGCCTAGGTTTATCTGACTTGGGTGGGCCTGGCCAGGAAAAAGGCAGCGTCATGTGCTCTGTCCTTTCTGGGGTGACCCCTGAAGCCTTTAGGGAGTGTCCTGACCACCCATTGCTGAGGGAGTGGGCATTGGTTCTTTAAGGAGAGCTTTGCTCTCCACGAGTGAGTGAATTTCCTAGGTGCTGTGTTTTGCTCCCCCCTCCACCCTCCTCGCATGCCCCGGGGGATCAGGGAACCTCACTCTCCTGAGGCCCAGCTAGGGAACCAGGTGAACAAGCAGCTTCAAGATTCGCTGCAGCTGCAGTTTGCCCAGCCTCTTCCACCCCACCTGTGTCTGAGTCCTGCTCTTGTGTGACTGTTACCGGACCCTTGTAGCAGGGGACTCTGGATGTACATAGGCTAGGGTGGGGTTTTTCCTTCCTACAGTGCACTGAGCAATGGAGACTGAGGGGTAAGGAGCCATGCTGCTGAATTCTGGTTGGCATTCCCCTCCTGTGCAAGATGGGGACGCTGGGCAGGGAGGCATTCTCTGCCTGGTTTGGTTGTGAGGAGGAGAAGCACTGTTATCCAGTTGAATTATTTGAGCAAAATCTACTGTAAATAACTTGTTTTTGTCTTTGGTCAAATAAAGTTGGTTTTGGTTTTGGTTTTGGTTCTCTTTTTTGAATCAGATCAATTTAATGTAACCCTGGGCCCAGCGTGAGGTGGACAACTACTGAGTTTTTTACTCAACCTCACCTCTTTTGCCCTCTCTCTGTTTAGTAGCCACTTGTAAGTGCTGTGCACCCTGCATCCTTACTTCCCAGGCCTAATTCCATTCCATGCCCCATATACCACACTGGAAGAGGCACATGAATCATCCCCAGCTGGACCAGTTTTCTCCAGGATTGAGAGTCAAGCTTTGGGGTTGCCCAATAGTGAGAGAGCTTAGAGAACAGGCAGCTTTGTTTTCCCCTCTCCTGATGAAAGCACGGCTCCAGCATGAAGCCATCACAAGGAAGCAGAAATAAGATGGATGCTCAAGTCTCAAACCAGTACCACCTCTGGATTTCCCTATATACAAGCTAGTAAATTCCCCTTTTTGCTTAAACTAGCTGTTTGCATTTTGTCATAATGAAATACCTATACATTGTAACTACAGCCCAACAGTGCAAAATTGAGGTCTGCACTGTTCACTGGCACTGCAGGAGACTGCTGTGTGCCTGGGCCTGTACAATGTTTGTTTATGCTATACACACAAAAGAAGTGAAATGCCCTTCTCATAGGTAAACAGTATTTGTTACACTACTTGCCTGAACTCAACACAGCCAGTATTAAATGGAGTTGGGATGTGAATTCAACTGTGCCTTGCTTTAAGGTCACTCAGATCTGCCCAGACTTAATTTGAACTTACAGTGGTGGGCAGTTCACTTTCTAATGGCATCTAGCTATCTAACATGGTTTGGGCTAAGCACTACAAGTTTTTTTCTACTGACCCAAATCAGCTTTCTGATTTCCCCAGTGCACCTGGGTGGAAGATACTGAATCTCCCACAGGTCACTCTCCTTTGGGAATGGAGACACAGCCTCTCAAGTTCCCCCCAAAAAAGAGCCTCCAACTCCTCAAGTCATTTATCCAAGGTCTTGGTCTTCTTACTTCCCTCAGGTATCCTTCAAACAACGCTTGGCAAAATACCAACATGTTGGAAGGGCTTTTCAAAGTAAGTTTCAAAATCATTTTACATCTGGGAAAAGAATATTGATGCTCCCCTAAAAGAGGAAGTGAATTGGATGGTTCGACAGGCTCAGGAGAACTTCTTACAAAATACTTCTCAAAGAACTAAAACCAAAAGTGTCTTCTGCATGGAGCTTCAATGAGCCCTGTAGTGAGCAAGCACTCTAGATAATGAAAGTTGACAAGGATAATGTGGCTAGGGTTCTCTAAGAATGTTATCTAAGGACATACACCTTTCCTGCAACAATTTCATTTAGGAAATAGCTTTGAAATGCATGTCTGCTCCCTGGTCCTGGGTGTACCTGCTGTTAGGTTGCCGATCCATTACTGGACCCCTTTTCTATGCCCCTATTCTTAAGAAGGGGGCCATGGTGATGCTTCATGTCCCTGGGTATCAATGTAAACTTAGACTCTGTGTCCTATAGTAAAAAAGGGGAAAAAAAGTAGTAGTGATGGAAAAGAGTGTATACCTTTGGACTGGTGGTCAAGGAAGGCCTCTTTCTACTGTTTTTGAAAGTGTAATTTGATTTCTTCATGGACCCCACTGGGAAACTTTTCCCTAACTCACCCCCGTGAATAAGAATCTCTATGGTGGGACTCAGATCTCTAGATTTTTAATGTACACTCTACTCTGGAGGATAAGGTCTGGAACTCAGGAGGGATATGGAATTAATCGTCATCATTGTTCTTGATGGTTCTAGTTTCCAAAGCATTTTTCTTTGATCTAAGCCTGGGTTCAAATTCTAGCTTTGCCATTTAATTAACTGTTGTGATCACAGGCAGGTCGTTCTACCACCCCAAACTTCAGTTTCCTCATCAATAAAATGGGGCTAGTAATATTTACCCCTTAGGAGGATGAAATAGAATAATCCACGTTACTGTTATTATCTGTTATTACTGGCCGCTCAGCACAGAGCTGAGAGTAGAACAGAACTGTTAAAATACCCCATACCACACAGCTTTTAAGTGGCAGAACAAACTAATTAACCAAAGAAGTAGTCCTCAAGCCTTACTATGCATCAAGGTCAGGAGAGCATACAAAATTGCGAATTCCCAGACCCTATACCCAGAGAGTCCAGGAATCTGCACACTTCACTGATGCCACAGAAGATTCTCATGATACTGCTCCAGGAACTGATCGCTTATAATCAGGACACTGACTTATTCCAGGAAACTGAGGATTTGGGAGGGCAGCATTACATCTTTCAAAGTTACAAGATGAGATAGACACTGAGAAGGGACTAGTGGTTACCAAGGGGGAGGGGTTGGAGTTGGGGGTGGGGAGGGAGAAGGGGATAAAGGGGCACAATAGTTCATAATCACAATATAAGTTGGTCAGTGGGGATGGTAGTACAGCATGGAGAATAGTTAATTTTGTAATACCTTACTACATTGATAGCGACCGTACTAGAAGGGGTGAGGATTTAGTATTGGTAACTGTTGAACCACTGTGTTATATATTCAAAGCCAACATAAGATTGTGTATCAACGATACATTAATTTAAAAAAAAAGTCACAAGATGAGAGGAAGAAGGGTACTGCCAAGCAGTTCCCCTGAATAATTTGACCTCTCCTTGGCACCCAGGATTCTATGGTGGCCTGAAGGTCAAGTGTAGCCTTCTTGAGATTGTCATTTTAATTACATGAGTAATCCACATTCACTGTAGAAAAATTTTAAATAAAGGTGAAAGGAGAGGAGTTCAGTATAGTGGTTAAGAGCCCAGACAGCTTTGAGAGGAAGACAATGTACATAAAACATTTAGCAAAGTTGGCACCAACTAAGGGCTCAGTAAGTACTAGTGTTGTAGGCAAAAAGGAAGAGGGCCAGGCTGCGAACTGAGACCTGTACTTCAGACAGCTCGCAGGGTTTCCCCAGCTCATAGGTTCTCCCCAGGACTCCTGACTTCTGTAATTCCATCTGTCTCTCTGGGACCACAGTCTTACCCGTCAGCACACCTTCCTCTCCAAACCTTAACACGAGCAGCTGGTAGTGGTATAGCGGCATTCAGCTGGGATGACATTCTCAGCCCCAATCTGGGACATGTGTTAACTGGTGCCAGAAAGCCACAACCTCACAAAGGCAAAATTTGTCCTACTTCTAAATCTGTCTCTCCCACTTCCAAATCTGAGTCTTCATTAAGTTCTTTTCCATTTTAGACCACCCAGAATGTTTATTTTAACCAGATGGATGCACTGGGATACAGCCAGATTCCCTATTTCCTAAGATAAAGAAAGCAGGAAGGGAACAAGTCTCAGCCCCATAGATACCTTTTAGGCAAGGGCTCTTTCTGCTAGCTCCCAGCTTGGCTTTGCCTGCATCTATAAAGCCAAGAGGAGTAACAAGGATAAGGTTTCGGATGCCTACTGAACCTCTGACTTGCTGTGTGACCTTGGGCTGGACCACAGGATCTGAGGCCCCTTCCAAACACAGCTTTCTGTGACACCCCCATCTCCTTCTACATATACACAAATTTAGTGAATCTCGGAATTAAGGTCAGAGCCTCACAAAATAATATGACATATAAAGAATTAGCTTTTTTTTTGAAAAAATGAAGTTACCATGTTTGCAGATAATGATCATATATGTATAAAGATTCCACAAAAAAAGCTGTTAAACTAATAAATGGATTTAGCAAAGTTGCAGGATATAAAATCAGCACACAAAAATCAGTTGTGTTTTGATACACTAATAATGAACAAAGCTAAAAGGAAATGAAGAAAACAGTTCCATTTGTAAAAGCATCAAAAAGAATAAAATATTTAGGAATTAACCAAGAAGGTGAAAGATTATTATATACACTGAAAACTACAAAATACTATTGAATGAAATTAAAGATGACATAAATAAATGGAAAAACATCGTGTTCATGAATTGGAAGACTTAATATTGTTAAGATGTCAATACTACCCAAAGTGATTTACAGATTCACTGCAATCTCTATCAAAACCCCAATACCTACGATTAGCATGTGTAATGTGGTGGGCGGGGGCATGGGAAGGGCTGCACAACACAGAGAAGACGAGTAGGGATTCTGCAGCATCTTACTACGCTGATGGACAGTGACTGTAATGGGGTTTGTGGGGGGGACTTGGTGAAGGGGGGAGCCTAGTAAACATAATGTTCTTCATGTAATTTTACATGTAAGATTAATGTAAGATTAATGATACCAAAATAAAAATAATAAAAAATAAAAAACCCCAATACCTTCTTTCTTTGCAAAAATAGAAAAACTCATCCTAAAATTCACATGGAATCTTAAGGGACCCCCAATAACCAAAACAATCTTGAAAAAGAAGAACAAAATGAGAGGACTCACACTTCCTGATTTCAAAATATAATACAAGGCTACAGCAATCAAAACAGTGGTACTGGCCTAAAGACAAATGGCTGGATAGAACAGACAACCTTGAAATAAACTCTCACATATAAGATCAAATGATTTTCAACATGAACCCAAGACCATTCAATGGGAAAAATAGTCTTTTTAACAAATGGTGCTGACAACATGGGATATCCACATGTAAAAGAATGAAGTTGGATTCTTACCTAACACCTTATAAAAAAATTAAAATGAACCGAAGACCTAAACATAAGAGCTAAAACTTTAAAATTCTTAAAAGAAAACAGGAGAAAATGGTATTGGATTTGTTAGTGATTTCTTGGATATGACACCAAAGGCATAGGCGACAACCAAAAAATCAAATGAATTGTAGTTCATCAAAACTAGAATCTTTTCTATATCAAAGGACACTATCAAAGAGTAAAAAGGCAACCCACAGATGGAAGATAATATTTGCAGGTTACATATAAGATAAGGGATTAATATCCGAATATATACACAACTTCTAAAACCCAACAACAAAAAAAACAAATGAACAGACTAAAAAATGAGCAAAGGTCTGGAATAGACATTTCTTTAAAGAAGATATACAAATGACCAACAAGCACATGAAAAGATGCTAGGGAAATGAAAATCAAAACTATAATGACAGGCTACTTCATAGCCATTAGGATGGCTATTATGGATAAAAAGAACAAATATTGATAAGGGAGAAACTGTAACTCTTGTGTACCGTGGGTGAGAGCATGTAAGATGGTGCAGCCATTATGGAAAACAGTATGGTGGTTCCTCAAAAAATTAAAAATAGAGTTATCATAAGATCCAGGATTCCACTCTGGGTATGTTCACAGAAGAACTGAAAGCAGGGACATGACCAGTTATTTGTATATCTATGTTCGTAGTAGCATTATTCACAATCCCAAGAAGGTGGAAGCAGCCCAAGTGTCGCCCAATAGAAGAATGGATAAACAAATGTGGCATATACATACAATGGACATTTAACAAAATTTTAACAAAGTTATTATTCAGCCTGAAAAAGGAAGGAAATCCTGATACATGCCACAACACGGATGAACCTTTGAAGACACTATGCTAAATGAAATAAGCCTATCAGAAAAGGACAAATATTGTGTGATTTCATTCTTAGGAGGTACTCAGTCAAATTAAGAGACAGAGAGTTTAGAATGGTAGTTATATGATCTCACTTATATGTGGAATCTACAAAAAAACCCAACACTCATAGAAAAAGAGATCAGACTTGTCACCAGAAGCAAGACGCTGGGAAGAGGGGGAAATGGAGGAAGGTGGTCAAAAGATACAAACTTCCAGTGATAAGATATATAAGTAGTTTGAGCCAGGGACCCTGGGTGTAGTCAGAGTAGGGTGAGGGCCTCCGGAAAAAGGCAGGATATTTGCAGTCAGGGCAATATAACTACATTCAAGGAAACCCCCTAGATGCTAATCATTTATAATTATGTGTAAGATTCACCTTAGCATGTTAAAAGGCCCAGGCCTATGTGCTGTCTTTTCTCCTTCAGATCTGATGAGGTGATTTTGCAAACTGGTCAACTAATTTAGCAAGTAAACCCAGGCATAAACAACAAAGTAAAAGGCAAGAAGGATTCCACCTTAAAGATAAGACGTTAGAAATTCTTGACTTATTCTTTAGCAAACAATACCTCAGCCCACCTTGGGGGCTGAGCAGGTGGCCTTGTTTCATATGCCCCCAGACCAAGATGCTGGTCTAAATATTCTGGGACCACTTCATAAGTCCACACCCCTAAGCTTTTTTTCATGTTCTCGAAAAATCCTCAACTTCCTATAAAACCCCTAGACAATGCACCACCCCAGACTCTCTTGTCTCCTCCTGGCGTGAGCCAGGAGCTCAGTCCTTTCACTTTATCTCTAAATAAAAGCCTGTACCTTGCTCTCCTGCGTTGAGTGTTTGTGGAGCTCATTCTTCGGCTTCGTGAACAAGAACCCTGACATCAGTATTAGGGAGATAATGTACAACATGATGGCTATAGCTAACACTGCTGTACAAAAGGTAGAGAAGTTACTGAGAAGGAATCCTAAGAGTTATTATCACAAGGAGAATTTTTTTTCCTTTTCTTTCTTTTAACTATATCTGTATGAGAAGATGGATGTTAGCTGAACTTACTGTGGGAATCATTTCACAAAATATATAAGTCAAATCATATTGTATGCCTTAAACTTCTGCAATGATGTATGTCAGTAACATTTTAATAAAACTGGAAAAAAAATTATTCAGCATATCCCTCCCCTACCTTCCCCAGCTTGTGGCTTTATTCCTCACCACTAGCCAATGTTGTGGTTTCATCTCCTGGACTGCTCTCTTCCCGTCTCTCCTACTCTTCCTTCAGGACTCAATTTTCCCTAACCCCCCAGATCAGATTCCCCATTACAAACCTTTACCAGCAGACCCAGCAGACTGAAAACTTACCTTTTCTGTCTCTGACCATGGGCTTCTTATTCTTCCAACATCCTATGACAGAGTGATCAATTTGTCTCTAGTGCTGCGTGCCACCAGGGATTCTGGAAAAGAGGTTTTCTGTTAATGGTACACTTTCAAACTGGAATGAGCTGGTTGGGCTCATTTTTGCATTTAGGAGGGAAACTTGTTCAGAAAAGAGGTAGAGCTGAAAGTAACAAGACCCATGAGAAAGTTAGGACTAAAGGTGTACACCCATGTCAGGTATATGGCCCTTGAGCCAGGTCCAGACAGAGTAATGTGTGTTGCAGGCTGTGTACCTTTGGGGTCCAGCCCCACTCAACCTACTGAAAGAGGATCTTGGAATTGGGTTGTGGTGGAAAATACCAGCTATAGTATTCTGATAAAGCTCTCTAGGAGATTCTGTTGGTCATCTAAGGTGAAGAACTGCAGGTGAATGTCGATAGGAATGCAAAGGATGTTCTGAATTTACCGATGTCCTTTAAGAGTTAAAGCTTAAGGTTAAAAATACAGATTTTGGAGTCAGAGAGCCTCAGGTACTAGGTTAGTGGTTGTGGGCAAATCACTTTGTCTCCATAAACCCACCATACAGAAGTGCTATGCTTTCGTCTCAACTTATTACTGAGCACATGGCACCACAAGGAGAGGGCTTATGAAAATGTTGATTATGGGTCCCACCCCACAATGTCTGATTTAGTAGGTCTGGACCAGATGGGGGTCCGAGGATTACATTTCTAATCAAATTCCCAGGTGATGTGGCTGCCGGTGATGCAGAAACACCTGGTGACTAAGGACCATGCACATAAGAGAGGACACAATAGATGAATACTCAAGATACTCCGATATCTAATTAAATATTTTCTCCACTTTCCTCCGATGAGGAACTCTCAGGTGTTTCCAACTTGCTATATAACATTAGGAAATCATTTTCACCTTTGGGTCTCAGGGCTCACATTTGTCAAAAGAAGGTGCAGAGCAGGATAAGACACTAAATTACAGCAGAGTTAAGATCCTGAACAAGGTCCTACGAACTTGCAGGGGAGAAAACAAGCAGGGGCTAAATCCTGAGCGGCTTGGAGCTCCCGGGGGGTGGTCTGGGCTCGAAAGAACGCCTCGGGGACGGCAGGACCGTGTTCTACTCAGCTCAAGGGGACAAATTGCAACAGACTGGGCGACGCTCACGTCCAGCCTCAGCTTTCGCCTCAGACGCCGCGGTTCTTCAGTCTCCTGAGCGCCTCCCTGCGCTCGTGTCACTTTCCACTCCAAGTTTGTCCCCTTCCTCTCACCCTACTACGCGCCCGGCGGAAGCTTGCCATCACTTCCGCCACGAGTAGCGCGTTTGCGCCAAGAGAACAACTGTTATTATAAGCAGGAGGGCAAACGAAGCTGCGCGGCCGCCGATTGGCTGCGTGGGCACGCCGGGGGAGGAGGTGCAGGGTCGCCCTACTCCTCCCTCCGCGGCACCGGGCCTCGGCCGAGCGAGGCAGTTTGGCCGGTGAGGGCAGCCTCCCCGCGCCACCGAATCCGACTGCTGAACCTGTCGCTGCTGTCCCCGCCGCCCCGCGCGCTGTGACCCACGACCCCAGATCCCGATTCCTTTTGGCTAGGCCCGCGCGCCCCAGGCCTGGTCCGGGCGGCGCGACGGGAGGATGAGCGGCGGGCGGCGGAAGGAGGAGCCGCCTCAGCCGCAATTGGCCAACGGGGCCCTCAAAGTCTCTGTCTGGAGTAAGGTGCTGCGGAGCGACGCGGCCTGGGAGGACAAGGTGCGATGGGACCTGGGAGGGCTCCGGCTTGAGGAACCAGCCGGGACTTGGGGACAAATGACAGGCCCGAGCCTGCGCCAGTCCCCTTCCGGGCGCGGCCGAGAGTCTCGCGTGGTAGGGCGCGTGGCGTCAGGGTGTAAGGGAGAACTTGGCGGGCCCGGGCCTGACAGCCGGGGTCGGGGCTCACCGCCGAGTGGCCTAAGGGTGAAGCCGCCTAGATCACGCGGGAAGCGGCGAGGAGGGGGCAGAGAGGTTGCCACTCGCGGGCGGGGCGTGTGCTTGAACGGCGAGAGCTGAATTCGACCTCCGCCTTTTACTCACAGTAGGACTTTCGCTAAGAGACTTACTTCCGGATTAATTACGTAACACAGTTGTTAGCCTGAACAGTAACGGTAGCGGGTTTTTGCTGTGTGCTTTCTGTGGGTCTGGTGCTCTCCATGCATTCTCTCACTCAATTCTCAGAACAACTCTGAAGTGCGGTACCGTGGTACATTAAAGCATTAACCACAGGCTCACTAAAGGTGAACTGCCATTGCATTATTGTTCAATGACGAAAAACCCAATTCTTTAACAGGTGGGAGAATTGAGAGGTAATACTGAGACCACCTTTGCAAGATAAGTGTAGAAACCACCAAATATGTGTTAGGATTGGTTGTGGCTTCAGTATGTACTTACTGGTCACAGGCATTCAGCCCTGCTCCATGATCTAGAAGGGACCACCACAAACAAATTCCAGTCGGCCAGAAAAAAATGTTGTATTTGCAGTCTTTCCTTTGTTTTTCTGGACTGATGCAGTTTTCCTTGCCAGAAAGGTTTTCCTTCCTGGGGTTCCCTTAAGGCGGGGGGGGGGGGGGGGGGGATGGGAGGCACTTCCGGAAGGTGCCCTTGTCCTGCTGCCAGCCCTGCCCAGCTCTTGTAAAACCTTTCTGATTTGCTGTGTCATTTCTTTCTTTCCTTGTATTAAGACTGGTTTATGCAATCTAGGGCAGGTCACAAACCTGAGTCGTCCATGTCCTTGTATGAAAATTAGATATGCTGGCACCTGCCTCTAGCACTTTAATTCTATACTAAATATATCACTTTTTAAGCATGTTTTAGTATAAGAGGTGGAGCTTCAAGAACCACATACCATTGATCTGGGGGAAAATTTCCCAGAAAGATGTGTTTAGTAGAAAGCTCTTCTGTTCTTCACTTATTATGGGAGGCTCTCTTGTGGCACCCACTCCAGATAATGCATGTATTCTCTTTCTTTTCTATAGGATGAATTTTTAGATGTGATCTACTGGTTTCGACAGATCATTGCTGTGATCCTAGGTGTCATTTGGGGAGTGTTACCTTTGCGAGGTTTCTTGGGAATAGCAGGGTAAGTCTTGGGTGTCTTGCTCTTTCAGCTTACCTTCCCCCCCGCCCCAAATAGATTTTGTTTTCCTCTTAAGGAAAAGGCCATTGCTACTTTTTAAGATATGATTTTTTTTTTTTAATGACTGTGTGTGTGAGTGTGTACAAAATGACTAAAGCAAAAAAGTGGCCCTTTTTTTGTTAACACTCCTGGGTCTGGTGCAGTGCTCCTCAGTTCAGCAGGCCTAGAAGCATCTGCAATTAGGCATTTTACCTGTCTGAAGGTGGGCCAGTTCATTCATTCATGAGTCCATAGTGACCTCATGCAAGAGGTTGCTTGTTGGTGCTCTGGTGTGACTTTTGTTTATACCTATGGAAGTTTGGGAAGTAGGGGAGCTTCTGTAATTGATGACCACTCCTTTGTGCCTGGTATTCTAGATGTCCTGAATCTTGGCTTTGGCAGAAGCTGTTTTAGATCTCTACATTTTAAAGGCACTGAAAAAGAAGATTCATCTGTGCACCTCTTACTGTGATTTTGTTGCTAGTGGCAGCATAGTTGACATCATCCCCTGGTCATGGCTCAGCTTGTTAAAAAGCCACAGAAAGTGAGTCCTCATGCCCACCAAATCGAATTAAAAGGATGCGTGGGAGTTGTCTTAAGATGGGAATTGTAGACAAGCTATAGTGGAGATGGACAGTTTCACACAGGGAATACAAACTCTCCCCTCACCCACAGAAAATCACACTGACTGTTTTAGAGGGCATCACATCTCTTCTTCCTTTTCCCTAGGCCAAAATGGGTGAAACAGATTTCAAACTCATTTGAGTTCCTTATTTTCTCAGAAGATAATGCAAAAGGAATGTATAGTCCCTGCTCCTAACTAAAAAGGTTTCGATATATGACATTGAGCATTTGGCCAAAGAAACCAGTAAGAGTTTGACAGAGTGACTTTGACAGAGTGGACACTTGATGAGGACTGGTTAAGGGTGATGAAACACAGGACCTGGGGTTCACAGAGGTCTTCCCAGGTTGAAGGTGGTATCTAGATATATTTTTAGAATGTTGGTCACCACCCCATTTGAGCTTCCTGTGAAAGAAAAGGTAGGTAAGAGGAAAATGCCAGAGAAAGTTAATCTAAAGGTAGGAGGGAATCTTTCATCTTCTCAAGGCCACCTTTCTAGAAGAGGGTAACATTGGTTCAGACTCCCTGCACCGTCTTGTAGAATTCCTATCTGGGAATAATATAGCAAAGACTAGAGCTAGTCTAGTATCCTTCCCACTGTGGTAGATGAGTTAAGCTGCCCAAATGGACTTTTTTTTTTTTAACTTGATAGAATACTCTGAATTCAAGTTCCAGCTCTGCGACTGTTAAGCTACACAATTTTGGGCTTACCTCTCTGAGACTGTTTCCTCATCATTAAAATGTGGGCCAAAAAAGTGCCTTCCTCATGAGATTGATGTTTGAATTAAATGAGATAATGAAATTGATTGCTAAATGTAGTGCTTAGTACATCATGGGCACCCCATAAATAGTTTACTGCAATCATCAGATGATTAGCTTTACAAGAAGTGGTAAAATATGGCTGTTGAGAAAACAGGAAACATGGTGTTTTGGAGTGACCTTGGAGTGGCTGGCTTGCCCACGATGCTGCTTTGCACACTGCCTGTTTTCTGGGGTTCATCTCACACTGACCTGCCAGGGCCAGTTGCTCTCACTCCAAATGAATCCCTTTCCTCTTTTGGTTGGCACATTTCCCCTGCTCTTGGAAAGGAGCCAAGGACATTGGTTTTTCCACACACATCCGCTCTCCATCTGCCTGACCCAGATGCCTGGGCTTAGGTGTGGGGCTGCACTGGTACTCAGTTCTGGTGAGTCTCTTCTCCTCGCTTCTTGCCTTAACTGCTCTCTGTCTGGGTTTGACCAGTTTGGCTTCTTGTTTCTGTTGTGGCCACCAGTTAGGGCCTGTTGAGGTAAAACCATTTTCTTCAAGTCTGTGTTTTGTGAGAACTGAGTGATGGTTCTGCTCTGCATGCTGAGGTTTTGCGTTATCGGAGAGGAGCACTGTCCATCCCTTCCTGCCTCTTTCTGTCATAGAGCTTGGCACATGATTAGTAGATGTTCCGATGAATGCTTGTTAAAATTTTTAAAATAATAATAATAATAAATAAAATAAATAAAAATAAAAAACTCAAACAAATTCCCATCTACCTTTAAAAGCAGCGTTGTTACACACCACTGTTGTGTAGGCTTCCAGCCCCATAGTCAGAATACTTTGTTAGAGGTTCATTATTTTATCAAAATCATGTTTGGAGTTTTTTAGGATAGAATTTTTAAAAACCCATTTGAGAGGCAGTCTTTTTAATGGATCCCCCAACCCACCCAAGTCCAGCACATTCATTTCTTTGTCTGCATATTTACTGTGTAGTTCTCTTCCTTATTAATAGTATAAAATTTATGCCTGTCCTTAAAGCTCAGTTTGAGCCCTTCTAGTGCTTTCCCAGTCCCTTCCTATTGACCACCAAATATTTAATGCCTTTGTTTCTGTGACTTCACTTTCTACTTAGTAACTCTTAGAAGGCAGGACTCATGTCAGCCCTTGCTCTCCATCATGCCATATCTCCTCTTTCCCTTGTATTTCCCTATTTCATCTACCTAAGCAGCCACTTTACACCTGATAGTCTCTAGTCATCTCTAGCCCTGTCACCTGACCCCCAGAGTAACATTTCTAAGCCCTTTTAGTAGTCTGTCTAGAACCACTAACTCAGCCTGTCCAAAATGAAACCCTCGTCAGATTGAGGTGGCTAGGTTGGCGAGGTGGCTAGGTTGGCTGGGTCCCAAGATTTCAGGCAGAAGATAAGGATATGGCCACAACGGGGCCAAGCCAGGGACTGTATTTCATGCAAAATCCAAGAAAAACCTTCTGTTCTTCTTGAGTCCCTTCTTGTGTAACTGGAACTATTAAACTCCCAAGTCCTTAAGCTTGAAGCCTTTTGGAAACTCTTGCCCCACCCTTCCTTCAGCCATTTTCCCAGTCCCTGTCCTCAACTTTGTGCTCGTGTCCTGGAACGTGGTTCAGGGTCTAAACCAGTCTCTCAGCTCCTGCTCCTTTCAGTCATGAGAAAGCCTGTACTCACTACTCACAAACTAGACTGCCTGATGTATGCAAACCCTGTATCATCCCCCTCTTGCTCAGGGGTCTGCCAGCACCCCTTCAATGATGTATACTCAGTGTCATCTTACTGTTCTGCCCTGTGCCAGCCCACACTTCATCCTTAGGAGGAACCGCTCTGCATTTTTCTACCATAGCCTTCAGAGGGGTTGTGGCCCAAGACATACAGTCCCCATTTAGATTAGATGCTAACTGGAAAGATTACATGTAAAGTCTTAATCACTTTATGAAAATTACTTCTACGTGACAACACTACCAAGAGATCAGTAGAGTGGATTATGTTACTGCTCACTGCATTCTCGTTCCTGTATCAGTTAAATTAAATAATGTATGGAGGGGTGGTCAGAGACCTTCATGGAGGTGCTCACATACCTCTGGTTTCAATTCCACTCTCCCTGCTGTTTTTAGCTCCTAATAGCTGAGGGCAGAACTGTGATGTTTGCCTCTGTGTCGAGTGCAGTAGCAGACAGTGGACATCCAGAAATTATCTCCCATCGGGAATTATGCAGGGCTCCATTAGCATGCCTTTGCTCACTCAGCTAGGCCATGAAGCAGCAGCTTAACGTGTTTGTCCCATTAACCCCCTCACCCCAGCCGGAGCTACTTGGAGGCCTGTGTCAGGTACTGGTCCTGTTTGGAATGGTTCAGTAGCCATCCTGCCTTACTTCCAGGGAGCTTGGAGAACCTAAATGTGCTTTTACAATTATTAAAATTTTTTTTACTCTTGCTGGGCAACTCAAAAGAGTTGCTCCTTCTTCAAGTCTGTAACTCAGCCAAGTGGGCAGCTCCTGAAGGGCCTAAACATTTTCCTGTATCATTTCACCTCCCTCCATAATACACTTACCTGTGCAAATGATTGCCTTGATCGAGCCAGACCATTGTTGAGGGGAGTCCGGAGTCTTCTGTGCTTATGTTCATGATTGGTGCTTCTCCTCTCTCCAGATTCTGCCTGATCAATGCAGGAGTCCTGTACCTCTACTTCAGCAACTACCTACAGATAGATGAGGAAGAATATGGTGGCACATGGGAGCTCACAAAAGAAGGGTTTATGACATCTTTTGCCTTGTTCATGGTATGTGTAGCTGATAGTTTTACATAAATCCTGTAGTTTCAGGAGGGGTCAGTTGCTCAAGGGGAGCCCACTGGCTGTGTTACTGTGTGTTTGGGGTACCATTTTTCAAAAGGCTCCTGAGGCTGGAGGGCATGTCCTCTCCCCAGTCAGTGTTGTCGCAGATGATGTGGTGTGGTACACTGCAGTCTCCTGTGTGCAAATCCAGGGCCCGTCATCTTCTACATCTCATTCCCAACTCTGACCGCATATTAGAAACTGGGGAACATTTAAAAATACATTCGTAGCATTATTCATAATAGCTGGAAAGTGCAGACAACTGTTCCTTGATGAATGGGTAAATAAAGTGTTGTATATCTATACAGAATATTATTTGGCCATATACAGAAATAAAGTACTTATGAGTGCTACACCATGGATAAACTTTGAAAACATTACATTAAATGAAAGAAGCCAGACACAGAAGAACACACCGTGTGTTTCCATTTATGTGAAATGTCCAGAATAGGCAAATCCGTACAAGACGAAAAGTAGATTCGTGATTGTAGTGGCTTGGGAGCTGGAGGGGGGAAGGGAGGTGGACGATAACTGATAAGGGAACAGATTTTAAGGGTGAGGAAAATGTTCCAGAATCAGTGGTGTTTGCACAACTTTATGAATATAAAAATAGGTGAATTGTACACTTCAAAGGGGTGAAGTTTATGGAATTTGTTTTTTTTTTTTCAGTTTCTTTTTTTATTAACATATCATTGATACAGTCTTATGAAGGTATCACATGAGCAACATTGTGCTCACTACATTCACCCATATTATCGAGTCCTCCCCACCCCCCCACACCCACTACAGTCACTGTCCCTCAGCATAGCAAGATGCTACAGAGTCACTACTTGTCTGCCTTGTATCTGTTATTTTTTTTAAAAAATAGAGCCTAGCCCAGAACAATAAAAATCTGTAGGAGGTGGCACTTCGGTATCTATCTATATATATTTGTCTCAGGAGATTGCAATGGGCAGCCAGTTTGAGAAGCTCTGCTTTATTTGATGTGAAGCTGAGAGGATATGGTGGTTTCACTTTCACGCTGGTTGCTAATCCTAACAATTAATTGGCATTGTTGTCTGCTTTCCCTGTATCATTTCCACATGTGTGACTCCACTCCCTGGTGCTCCACAGCTGTATGGTAAGGGGAGAGGCTTGTCCAGGATGCCTTTGGGAACACAGGTGGGAAATCCTGGGCTTTGTTAGAGACGGCCTGATTTTGGTAAATTATTTAGGCTCCCAAGCAGATTATTCTTTGGATAGCCCCTGAGAAGTCCACTGTGTACACATTCTTATCTGACGTTTTTGTTTTGTGGGATAGGGTGTTAACCAGGTGACCTATGAACATTGCTTGTCTCCTCTCTAGGTCATTTGGATCATCTTTTACACTGCCATCCACTATGACTGATGGTGTATAGCTCACTGTCTGGTCCAAAGGACCCTCTTAGTTACAGCACAGAAACATGATTGTAGGGGCATCCCAGCCACATGGAACCTGGAAGACCCATGTTTCCTGGACCAAGAATAATTATGTTGGGCATGTTTTCTGCAAGGGTTGTGACCTAAAACTTTTTAAAGAACCATCTACCTTTTGGGGAAGCATTTCTGAATTGTCCATCACCAACTTTTCTTCTTGGATATCATCATGAAACACCTCTCTGCTGACTGGAGCTGTCATTTAATTTGCTGCACCTCTGGATCTGGATGAAATATTAAATTGTCTTCCTCACTTCTCCACCAGGTGTACAGTTTTTAAACTATCAGTGGCATTTCAAGTCTCCTGAAAACAGTATGGCAGTTATGTCCATAACACAGTACAAGCAGCATCGAATAACAATTTCCATTGTAGAATGTTTTCAGATACTTGAATAAATCAGTCTTTAATTGAGAACCTGTTGATAATGCCTGGTAAAGCCTTTCCCACCTCACCTCTAGCCTCAGAACCCAGTCTGCCCTTCCCTGTCCCTCTTCCCTCTTCTTACTCTCCCTGGGCAGCTCCAGGTAGGTCCCTTTCCCTTAATGAGCAGCAGGGAAATCAAGGGCTGGAGTTGGTGTGGTCTGTGGCCTTGGCTTTGTGGAGAGAGGGCTCACCACCTTCTCATGCCCCTGCCCACTGAGACGTATGACTGACCTAACTGCAGTGTGCTAGGCTCAGGTGTCATTTTGCATTTGGCCACAAGATGGCAAGGCCACTGTAGCCAGGAAAGCTTGTCTGCATTCAAATGATAAGCCATAAAGTGAAGTAAGAGGTCTGAGAGCTGGGACTTTCCAGAGAAGGGACTTAAAGGAAATATTTGAGGACCTTGGCTGTCAGAAGTGCTCTTTGCTCTGAGGGGTCAGGTAGACAGCCCAGGTTCTGCTGCTGCGGTAAGCCAGCTGTCCCATCTGCTTTCCTGTCCCTTTGAGGACACATCTTATTCTGAGGGAGACTTATAAACTTTCTTAAAATGCTGTTTTTTTCTCCTTGATACTAGTAGTTGTTTGTACCTTGTGGTGGGGTGGTGGGGTGTAGAATGGGACTCAGGCAGGGAGAAGACAGTCCTGGAAATCCCAAGCTAAGGAACCAAGTGGGTCAGACCCCAGAGAAGGTTTAGTTTCTTTCTGGAGCCCTGGCCCCATTCAACTGATCTGTAGTTGAGCCAGAGGTTGCAGGGGGTGGGGTCACAGCACCGGCAGGAGGTTAACTTCTTAGGGCTGAAAAAGGAAGGAGCAGAGGCTACAAGTGGGATCCTGCATGGCCTCTGTGTCCCAGCCCTCCCCGCCTCAGTGTACAGCCTTGCCTTAGGTTCCCAGCCAGGCTCAACTTAGTTGGGTTCTAGGTGCTACAGCCTTGGTTCCCCTTTCGGCCTCTGCTTTGAGCCTTGGCATCATCCAAGGAGATGTCTCCAGTCAGGCTGATGTAGGAGCTGATGGCTTCCCGGAGCCCCTCGCTGAGGAGGGCCGCCTCCCCCGTTGCAGGTGCCTCAGAGAACAGGAGGGAGCTGTGGAGAGGGGGCAAGAATGGGGCAAGGTGCCCATCCCCCTGCACTCACCACATACATCACTGTTCTCAAAAACTGATGAAAAATTCACAGTGGCTCCCCATTCCCTGTCATATCAAGCCCCAGCTTGACATCTCCGTTCAGGACTGGTGCTGTAGGGCCCCTTCTTGTCTGACCTTCCTTCCCTCCTAGCCACCTTGGTGTCCAAGTGTGCCCTATATTCATGCTACTTTCTCCTCCCTGCCAGTCCACCTACCAACCTGCTGAGCCTGGGCTGGCCTCCAGGAGTTGTCAGTGCTCACTGGCCCCCGTGGGTCCCTGAACAGGCCCATTCTGGGGTTTGGGTGCTCAGGGGTGGGTCCTGTCCCTTGTTTCGCCTTCATGTTCCAGTGGTCCCCTCACCTGTCCAGCTCTTCCCAGTTGAGGGGTGTCCTCTGCACAGTTGCAGGTAGGGGTATGGCCTTGCCAGGCAGTAGACCAGCCCTCTGCAGGGCACAGGGCTCCTTGAGGAGGCAGCAGATGTCCTCGGCCAGCTCTGAAGAAGAGACAGACCCTTGGCACAGCTGACTCCAGCCTTGCTCTCCTCCCCAACTACCCCCACCCTTACCCTGACCGCTTTCCACATTTGGCAGGTGGGTGCATGGTCAAAAAAGAGTGATGGCATGAGTCTGGAGCTGTTGATCTAGAGGCTGAGATGCAGTCCAAGGTCATTCTGGGCAAGGTTTTGCGAGACTCAGTTTGCTGTGTGATACAGGTAAGGTGACAGACCTCTTTGAGCCCCAGTTTCTGACAAGGAAAATGCTTTGGAAAGAAGCAAGCTAAGGAATACTCAGTCTCGACTTGTCTGTCAGTATCTACTATGTGGAATGACCCTCCAGAAAACCCCTGATCGGTTTTTCCAAGAGTGGTCTTTCCTCTCTACCCCTTTGCCAGGATGCCCTAGTAACTGCATCTTCTGATGCCTGTTACAGGACAAGCACCAGAAAAATGCTGACAATCAGTTGAATTAGACAACAGCAATAGCTCTCGGCCTAGTTCCTGTGGAAAGAACTCTGCCTGCTGTTTGGGGCTTTAGCTCAGAACCACAGTGGTGGGCGAGGCCTGTGTTCACACAGATTTATATGGCCCTATCAGGGCAGAGTACGAAGACGGAGCTCCCAATCTACATTTCTTGGCACAAGGCTGGCATGAAGAGAGAGGAGGCCCTCTTCTGTCTATATTCTCCAGAAGGTAAAGTACCCAAGGGCACAACTGTCTGCCCCCCAAGACCCCACATTCCATTGTACTCTAATGGCAGCAAGGAAAGGCCATACCAGAATAATGGTCCACCAGGGCCTGGAGTGAGGGGAAAGTGAGGCGCGGTGAGATGTACAACCAGCCATTGTCAAGGCGCTGGATCCTGTAGTGTCTGATTCGGTCCCAGGATGTAGGGCGGCTGAGGCGGACCGACAGGGAGTAACAGCCTGAGGAGAACAGCCGAGGGCGAAACTGAGGCCCTGCTGGGACCCAGCCCAGCCCAGGTTGGGAGAAGGAAGAGATGAAGTAGCTGTGGAGCATGGCCACAGACCCAGACGGAAGGGAAGCAGACGGGAGGGACAAGGACTTAAGTCTCTTGGTCATAAGTGACAACACATTCATAATAGATAGGATTTTCATGAGGATTAAATGAGATCATGACAGTGCTCAGAAGAGGGCCTGGTACAGTTCATATGAATATTAAGTGTTGGCTGTTACTATAAAGACTCAAGCGACAGAAGTGTTAGAATGTGAAAATGTGTCAGATGTCAGCAAGGAAACTGAGGAGTAGGAACTCACCCTGCTGGTGGGAAGATAAATTAGCACAAGCCACTTTGCAAACAGCATTAACTAGTGAAATTCAAATGTGCACATACCTCACAAACCCAGATGTTCCATCCCAACATGTTACCTGTACCATCTAACAAGAATATTCATAGCAGCCCAAAACTTGAAAAGCCCAAAGCTGCTAACAGCCCATAGGCACTCAATAGAATAGGAGAGTATAGAATAACACTATACAGCAGGAAAATGTAACTATTACATACATAAACATAGATAAATCTTGAAAATAACGAGCAGAAACAACAAGTCACAAAAGCATACATTCGGCACTATCCTATTTAAAGTTCAAAGGCAGATAAGACTATATTGCATTAAAGATACATATACGGCATATAGCTATGAGGAAAAGTAACTGAATCATTAACACAGTGAAGCATGCACAAGGCTTCAAAGGACTGTTACTATGCAAGTTTTTAATTATTAGTTTTTAACCTATACATATATATATTATATATACTGATACAGGACAATTTTTCCAGTTTTGCTTTTTTAATTTTTAAAGTTAACTTTGAGGGAAAATTTAAATACAATAAAATGCACACATTCAAAATGTAATTTGATGGGTTTCAACCAGAATTTTTTTAGTGTAGTTGATACACAATATTATATTGGTTTCACCAAAATTATAATGAGAAAAAAAGAACTGGCTAGAAGAGGAAAGTGCATGGCTGAAAAATGAATAGAGAATAAAAACCCTGTAAAATTGTTATAATACACAGGCCTCCAGTAGTAGTTTTCAGCAGAATGAAGATACATACGAGAGCATTTAAAACTGTAAAGTGGGATTCATTTAAGTCAACACTTCATTAAAGCCAAATGGGAAGAGAGTGCTTAGTGTACTAATAGTAATAATCTAATACTATCATCTAATGACCTAAAGTTATCTGTAGCTTTCATTTATTGAGTGCTTACTATGTGCTTTATATGGCTTATCTAATTCTCATAACCACACTATGAGGTAGGTATAGCTATTCCTAATTTATAAATGAGTACACTATGGCAAAGAGAACCTGGAAAAGAGGCAGTGACCTTGTACTTGACCTTCCCCTGTGGAATGCCAACAAAAAGCAAGAGTGTATTTCCCAAGCCACAGGCACTGCTCCATTTTAAGCAGCATTTACTTTGAGGAAGTGCTCTAAACACTAAATTTAAAAGGATTGAAATCATTAAAGGTACATTCTCTTACAACAACGTAAATTATAAGTTAATAACAGTAATCTATACGGAAAATCCCTAAATACTTGGAAGTAACCCAGGGAATGAAGAAGAAATCACAAGCAAAGTTAGAAAATATTTTTAAATAATAAAACAAAAATTTGTGACATCAGCTAAATCAGTACTTAAAGGTACATTTGTAGTCTTAAAAGCTTACATTCAAAGAAAAAAAATGGTACACCCTGGCCACTGTCACCACAGTTGCTAAAACCAGGAAGGGTAGCAACACTAAAGATCTGGCTGGTAGGCTCAGGGATTATAAGTAAGTTTTGTCAACCCCATGTGGGGTTGTCAGCCCCACTGTAGGATAGGTTGCTTACCTAGGCCATCTGTGACTGGCCCATGTGCCTGGTATCCCTCTGTTGCTTCTCACACATGCTCCATCCCAAACACCTATTCTCTCCCCCAGTTCCAGGACATCTCCTTTTTAACTCAGACTCCCTGGGTTCAAATCCCACACAAAGCCATGTACCATAACACCCCTGCTGTCCCATGATCACTATCTGTGTCTGTAAAGCACATTATTTGACTTCTCAGATCTGTTTCTTTATCTGCAAAGGAGGATAACAATTGTCTCAGTCTCATCAGATCACCTCACAGATTCACATAGTGAAGCAGTTAAACAATTTGGCAGCAACTGGCATGTAGCAAATGCCAATAACCCTTATCAGGCCTCTGTCCTTTGCTCATGCTGTTCCTTTTATATGGGACAGTATTCCACCTGAATAACTCCCAGCCTTCCTTTACAACTCAGTTCTGCTCAGACAGCAACTCTCCAGAACACCTTCCCCATCTAAGAGAAGCCCCAGCTCTAGGCTTGCCCAGGCACGAGGGCTTTGTGGCTCTAAGGGACCTGCTCTGCCATTGTCTGTCCTTTAAGCATCCCCAACCATATAATCAGTCATAAGCCTCCTGAGGGATGGTTCTGATTTATCCTCCCACCAGCATCCCATCTCAGAAAACAGCAGTGCTATTCATCCCCAAGGAAGTTCTTAACCCTCGAGGCATCCCTGATTGCTTCCATTTGCTCATATGTCACATTCAGCTGGACAGATAACCCTGCTGATACATTCAGAACATATACAGAATCTGACCACTTCTCGCCCCCAAGGAGCCTGCAACAACTTCCCATGTGGCTTCCCACTTCCGCCTTATCCTGCCCCCAAATCTCACAGCAGCAGCAGATGAGGGACCTGGTCATGCTGTTCCCCTACTCAGAACCCTCCCCTTTACACTTAAGGCAAATCCAAAGTCTTCACCTGGGAAAGGCCCTGAATGACCCGACTCCCCAAGTGAGCTTGGATCTTCTCCAGGTACACTGCCTCCTGGAAGGGATGTGTCTACCTTGAGGCTTTTGCGTGCTGGCACATGTCCTATCACTCCATTCCTCCTATGCTACTTTACTGTTCCTCCATGGCACTTACCATTGACACTTATTTATTTGTTCACTCTCCACTTTGCCAATTAGATTATGAGCAAGGATTTTGCTTTGTTTACTGTTGAGTCCTGGGTGCTTGGAACAGTGACTGGTGCAGTAGTCTTCACCTGGGAAAGGCCCTGAATGACCCGACTCCCCAAGTGAGCTTGGATCTTCTCCAGGTACACTGCCTCCTGGAAGGGATGTGTCTACCTTGAGGCTTTTGCGTGCTGGCACATGTCCTATCACTCCATTCCTCCTATGCTACTTTACTGTTCCTCCATGGCACTTACCATTGACACTTATTTATTTGTTCACTCTCCACTTTGCCAATTAGATTATGAGCAAGGATTTTGCTTTGTTTACTGTTGAGTCCTGGGTGCTTGGAACAGTGACTGGTGCAGAGCTGCCATGCAATATCGATCTGTTGAATGAATGAATGAATCTTTTGATAAACACTGGGTGGAGCTGTGAATACAAGCAGTTTTGAGAAGTCCCTGTCACCATTTGCACTCCTGCTATCTGGGAGCACAGTGGCTTGTGGGGCAGTCTACCCTACCCCAGATCTTCATCCTCTTCCCTCCCTTCAATGTACACTCACGTACCTCATGCACTCATCTTCCCATTCAGTAAACATCACTGAGCACTTACTACATGTCTGCACTGCACTAGGCCCAGACACAGGTAATCAGATCTTCATACTCTGGGGAAAGAAGTGCTGTCCTTCTGGCACACTGCACTGCAAGAATTTTCCTTTATGGTCCTCATTTCAAATATTTAGTTCCTGTGCTCTTAGACTACATACCCTGATTTTAAGAAATAAGTTCACTGCAGCTAAATAAAAGATCTTTTCAAGATGCTATTGGAATTGAGAGCTAAGAGTGACAAAGGCTGGGGAAATGACATTGCAATGAGCAGTGAAGGATGAGTGAGTTTGCTAAGTAGAGGAATGAAGGATATGGCTTTCCAGGCTGAGGGAGGACTGCGTGCAATGATGCAGCAGTGGAAAGAACAAGGTATGTTCTGGTTATTGGAGTGTTCTGGTGGGCAGTGGGCCACAAGGCAGGCTGTGGAAAGGAGTGGTGGGAGCCATGGCTGGGTGCAGAGTCTGCAAGGAAACCCATCAGGGAACAGGCAAGGAAGGTATGAGGTCCAGATTCCAGAAAGCTCCATTAGGCTTAGCCATTGTCCCACCTTAGCCTGCAGGGACCTCTGGGGTCAGGCACCATGTTTTCCCTGGTGTTTTGATGAGGTCAGAAAGAGAGATGGGTCCACAGTGGTATGAGGGATCAGATTAGGAGCTTTGTGTGGGAGGTGGACTTAGCAGGAACCTCCTGAACTTCCTCCATTGAGGCCTCTGAGAAGCTGATAGCCTTGGGGATGCTGTACCTTGGACCTTCCACTGTCTGCAGCCTGAGGATAGGAACCTTAGTTTGATGGGCCTGACTTGGAGGAGGTGCACAATAGGTGTTTTCCAACTGACAGAATGTACAGAGATGAATCCCTAGTGGCAAGAAGCATGTCTTGCTTATCAGTCTCTCTTACAAAGTCCAATTCAGGAAACACACGTGGTTGGACAGCAGGAAGCTTAGGGGGTGACACTGCTGGGGTCTGGCCTTAGAACTGACCTTGAGCAGTCCTGTGACCTCCACAAAGTCTTCAGTGCTCCTTCAAAGACCAAGGTTTTCGTTCTCACTTGGGCCCTGCCATGGTTCCCCCCAGGCCTAGTATTCAAACCGGTATGCCCGAGGGCCTCTGAGGAAGACGGGGGACTTCCCCTCCCCACCCCAGACTCTTTGAATAGTGTTCTGGGAGTTCATGGGCCCCAGGCCTCCCTCCGTGGTCCTCACACAGGCTCAAAGCCCATGTAGAATTCCCTTTCCAGGGCTATGTCTAGACCTCTGGCCAAAGAAAAGCTGAATCTCATGCCTCTCAGTCCTAACAGTTAATTTCCATTATATACGACAGGATGCATTATGTAATTGCAAAAAAACATTTTCTCTTACTACTTAATTCTAGGTTCCCTAGACTGGAACTGTGTTTTCAAACTTAAAAAAATGTAAGAACCATCCTGACAGCTTGTTAAGGAAGCAGACTTCTGACCTCTACACAGAGTAGTCTGATTGGTAGGTCTGGGGTAGGGCCCAAGAATCTGCATTGTCAGGAAGTTCCCCTGACAATTCCTGTATACTATAGTCTGAGAACCAACATTCTGTGACATCCCTCGGGCCCCTAGATCTGCAGTGTCAAACATTTCTTAAACCATAGTATATATACTGTGGGGCACTTAAAATTACCTAAAATAAGAGTTTGATGAAGGAGTATTTCCTCCATCTGCAGGGATGCACCCTGAGGTTTTCTGTTATATTTCACGCCACTCACTCACTGATCCAGATCCACTAAATCAAAGGGTGCCAACCTTGGATGTATATCAGAATCACCTGGGGGACTTTAATAGATTCCAGGGCCCAGGCCACACCCCTGATCAATTGATTGAGAAACTCTGGGAGTGGGGTGCAGGCATCAATAATTTATAAAGCTCCCCCAGATGATTCCAACATGTAGGCAAGGTCTAGATGAGTTGTTCTCAAAAGTGTGGTCCCTAGACCAGCAGCAGCACCTATGAACTTTCCGGGAAGGCAAATTCTCAGGCCCCAACCCAGACCTAATGAATCAGAAAATACTGGGTAAAGGGCCAGTTCTTTGTTTTAACAAGCCTTCCAGGTAATTCTGATGCCTGCCCAGGTTTGAGACCCACAAGTGTATAACCACTGAACAAACTGATTTCTTAGCTTGACAAATGTTTTAAGTACTGAGGAAACGTGGCTTTTCCTGCAGAATTGACAACTTTCTTCCTTGTTTGATAATGAGGGCTACATTCTGATTTATCTCCTTTTAGTGTTGGCTGTGGGGAAGCTCAGAGTCAAATCTAACTTTAATCTCAATAATTATGTGGATCCCTATGGAATCTTACCTGCTTTTTCCTTGATTTCTCAGCCAGTTCTTGTGTATGTACCTTCTTTTAGGAAAGGGGCAGAGAGGCAGAAATGCTGATCACTATTATCTGGAGGCTGAACCAGGCAGGAGAAGGGGTGCGGGTAGATCAGCTGAGCATGGAGTACTTCCTGTGGCTTCTCAAGCTCCCAGGGCCCAGTCTGCAGCACCTGCCTCAGGCAGCGGTGCTGCTGTGGTTTCCTGTTTGCAGTTGCTACGCACAGGCAGCCCCCCTACCCCAGCCAGCCTTTCGGTGAAATGTTGATGCTACCTGGAAAAGGGCAGGGGGTGCTGGGGAGAGGTCAGCCCAGGGAGCTTCTGAAGGAAGTTGGGGAGAGGCCCAACTTTTAGTGTTGGCTGTGGAGAAGACATGTTGGACAAGGGCCCAGGAGGAAGTGAGTAGAGAGCAAAGGACAGTGACCACCCAACACAGTTGTCGGGGTTCAAATGAGGGTGAGGACAGGATGCTGGCCTGTACTCTGTGTATCTCCTCCCTAGTCTACCCCTGTGCTTGCAGTTCTACCATTATTGTCACATATGGGCCTGTCTTGGGTATCTGAAGTGAGATGAACCTCAGCTGGGTTTGAATCCCAGCTCTGCACTTATCAGCTTTCTCTTCAGGCAAATCATTTCTTCTAAGCCTCAGTTTCCACATCTGTAAAATGGGGACAATGGAAGTACGAGCCCCACAGTGTTGTTTGAAGGCCCTTAAAGGGCCTAACCTAAGTGTGGGCACTGCCACTCCTTCAACATCCCTCTCTGCTCCTGCTGAAAGGGACTCGAGGCAGCAGCTAAGAGACAGACTCTGTCAACTCTGTGCTTTGTTTGCAAAGGTCCTGCACCTGACGTGGTTGGAGTCCCATGTAAATGTGCAGTGTGACATGTCCCTACCCCTTTTGGGCCTCTATTTTTCCATCTGTACAGCAGGGAAAGAATGATCATAGGATGACTTTAATGAGTTTTCTGGCTCTGAATGGCTAGTGACCCAAAGCACAGAGACTTTATAAACTTGACAGTTTTTTTGCCAAGCAATCAGGATTGTGTTGTGTCTTGGGAAGGGAGGAATCACTGTAAATCAGGGCAGGGAAATCCTATGACCGTACGCTATTACAAGTCCCAGTTGCCAAAGTGTTGGCTGAGCCTGGATCCCCACTGTGGGCCTTTCACACCCACTCTGAGAAATGCAGGTGATTGCTTCATTACTGATGGGTTTTCAGGGCAGCAACATGGTGGACAGTCAGCACAACAGACTGTCCAAGGCCAGGTATTCCAGCCCTTCACATTTGACCTCCTGCCTCTACCCTCAACTCACATCACACTTGGCTCTTGGCATTCAAGGGACAAGCGAGCTTACCCACCTTTCCTGGTCTGGCTCTCGCGAATGAGGAAGGCTCCCCCGGGGTTTCCAGGCAGGAGCAGGAGCTCCTCAGCTTTCTCCCGGCTCAGACCCTCATACAGCCACCTGGGGGAGCAGCAGAGAGGGGGACAGGGTCAGCCTGGCATTGTGGGCTGACTCTCCTATCCTTGCCCAGCAGCCCAGCACAGCATGCTAGCCACTCACCTTTCCAAGAATTGCCCCTGTTCTCTCCTTAAAAAAAAAAAACTAGTAAATACTCTATTTGAACATTTTTAAAGTTTAACTTTGTAGCCAAAAGGTGTGGTGGTGAACATTCATTATCACTGAAATCTAACTCCCGTTGGAGCTTATTTGTGGATGGGAAGGTTAAACTGGAATGTTTAAGGCATTCTAAAATCTTGGAAAAAATCACGCAGCCTGCTGATCACCATATGTGGCTCCCAAGGCAGACCTTCTTCCAGCTACGCCTCAGTGTCTCTTTCACTGCTGGGTTGATTATGCTGCTCCCACATTTTCCTCCCTCTTTCTCCTGATCCCTCACCTGTAGATGTCCATGAAGGACTTTACCTCAATAGAAAGTTCAGGGTAGTTTTTCAGGAATTATTTTGCTTACTAGTCTGTCAGCCCCCTAATGTTCCCAGAGCCACCCTGTGGTCCCAGGCAAAGCCTACAGAAACCAACTTGATGGAAATGGCTGCCTCCCTGTCATTTTGTGAAATTCCACCCTCAAAGCCAGAGTTAGGGTTGAACTGATTCCAAGCAGATAAATTAGAGAAGCTGTGACTCGCTTGGTGCCAGCAATAAAACAGTCATTCATATGACTTATGAAAATTGATGGTGTAAATGAAGGGGTGGTAAGGGAAAGGGACTCTTGGAGGTAGTGTTTCCTAGACTTAAACTTCCTTAAACAGTGTGCATGCAAAACCTCTGACCCACCACCAAGCCAGGAGACACATGGCCAAAGTGGACTTCACCAGGCCTGCACACCTCTGTGCAAGCTGATTCTAAGGGTGCCCACACTTCTGTCTTGGGATTCCTGTGTTACTTTCATCACCCAGACATACCAGGAGCCTCAGCAGAGGAAGGCCATCCCGTGCCGGAGCCATACTTCTCAGAACTGGAGGGCGCTGACCCAGCCCACCCGGTGACATATCCCCGAGACTGGGCTATTCAGGGACACCCCACTGAAAGGCAGCTTGCTTCCTTTCTTATGACAGAATTTGCTGTATGATTTCTTTCTTTCTTTTTTTTAATTTTGTTATCATTAATCTACAATTACATGAAGAACATTATGTTTACTAGGGTCCCCCCTTCACCAAGTCCCCCCCACAAACCCCATTATAGTCACTGTCCTGTGTGATTTCTTTTGTCACTCACTCTTGGCAAAAGATGGCTCACATTTTGTAAATGACCTTGCATCCCCGTGTCAAGCCCTCCCTCAAAGGGCAGGCCCGCAGAAGCTTGCCATGATGGGGGGACCACCCTTCCATTTTTGTGCCTCAGAACATTTATGCAGGCTGCTCGCATCTCCTGCAGGTCCTTTTCTGTATTCACCACCAGATTCCTGGCCATCTTGCAAAGCCCAGATGCGAACACTCTATGAGGGCTTCCCAAGGCCCCTCCTCTGGGCTCTAAGTCTTGCAGGCAGACTTGAGAGAGTTCGTTTTCTGCTCCTTTTGAGAGCAGGGCCTGGGCCTGACTCTGCCCTGACCTCTGTCCACTTTGCTTAGCACAGCACTGGACATAAAGGACTGTGCTTGTGGGAAGAGAAAGCAGGAAGCTCCCCTAAGAAGGGCCTGTGGTGTGAACTCACCCATGAGAGATTTTGGCCACATGGATGCTGGGGATGCTGTACTCTCTTCCTGAGTCTTCTGACAGCACCGTCCACCAGTCTCCATCTCTGGGGAGAGAAAAAAAGAAGAGGAGACTCTTCTTAGAAGGGCCAAGGCCCCAGAAACTGCTCATTTGGGATTCACAGGGATCCTGCTGCCACCTGTCCCACCTGAGTTTCCCAGGTTTCCTCGCATCTGCCAGTCCAGGTACCTCGTGGGTGGTGGATGACAAGATTCAGAGAGATCCTACCGGACCCCACTCCACCCATCGCTTCTCCTTGCACATGTGGCAAGCTGCCTAAAATTACACCATTAGGGCCACGTGTGAACTCAGCAGCAAAGGCCATGGTTTCCCCTGGTGGGGGGGCCCTTCTCCCATTAGAGCATCTTCAGGTATCAGGGGAAGGTGCAGAGGACCCTACCCAGTGCCCCGGGAAGGACTTACTCAGAGATGATAGTCAATGGCTCCCCCAGTCTCAGTGACAGCTCTGCATGCTCACCTACCGGGTAACTGCCCAGGGCAACGGCTGTGGCCTTGCTCCTCTCTGGACAAAGGACAGAGATGGTCACTCTTTCAGTCAGACCTCCCTCCAGACACAAGGTTTTACGGAGTCTGGGTTGCCACCATCAACCCTCCCACAGGCAACCTGGGAGCATGTCTGCTGGGATCCTGGGAGAACAACCCTGGACTCTGAAGATTTTCTAGAACTAGTGGTTACCAAAGGGGAGGGGTGTGGGAGGGTTGTGGGAAGGCGGGTGGGGAGGGAGGGAGAGGGGGATTAAGGGGTATTATGTTTAGTACACATGGTGTGGGGATCACGGGGAGAACAGTGTGGCACAGAGAAGGCACATAGTGGATCTGTGGCATCCTGCTGCACTGATGGACAGTGACTGCATTGGGGTGTGGGAGGGGACTTGATAATATGAGTAAATGTAGTAACCAAATTGTTTTTTCATGTGAAACCTTCATAAGAGTGTATATCAATCATACCTTAGTAAAAAATTTAAAAAAAAAAGATTTTCCAGCAGGGCTCTGCAAAGCCTCAGGGAAGGGTTGTGTGGCAAGAGGAGGGGAGATCTTGGCTACAGTCCCCTTTTATATACAGATCTTCACAGATTTTGATAAAGGGATTCTGCTGCTCAGCCAACTTAAAACCTATAGCTCTGAGCAGCTATCAGCATGGATCTCTGAGCTCAGCTTCTGGAAGGTGCTGATGAGATGGGCAGTGGATGCACTATCAGGGCTGGGGCCCTAGAGGGGGTCGCTTAGGAGGAGGAGGATTCCTGAAGGGCCCATGAAATCACAGATGTGAACAGGCTTTGTAACTCTGGACTGCCCTGCACTTGGGCAGAGGGCTCTGCTGTGCTTTTCCAGAAGGGTGGCTGTAGGTCTGTGCTGCCCACTGAGAAGAGGTGCAGCTGTGCAGCCCACTGCGCCAGGCACCAGCAGGTGGGGCCCAGTCAAGTGCCCTGGCCTCACGTCTGCCACCTTTACTGAGTACCTGCTGCGTGTTAGGCCCTGACAGTGCTGCATGCATCCTCTCCACCCTCACAAGCCCAGCAGTCATCTCTAGTCATCCCTGTTACACAGCAAGGCAACCGAGGCTCAGCAGGGCACTCTACTGGGCATGAGGGCACAGCTATGCTTACTACCCTGTCCCTCACCTCCCAAGAGGCACTTGGGGTGGGTGATTGTCATGGCCACTCACAGCCCCAGGCTAGGGTACTGGGCTGCAGCAGCACATCCCCAAAAGGGTCCAGACTCCCCAAAGATTGACATTCAGAGGGAGTCACAGAGCCAGAGAACCCCAAGCCACTGCCCCCACCCTGCACCGTCACACGAGGACTGGTCCTCAGGCAGCCATGAGGCTGTGAGGCCCAGATTGGAGCTCCTCCTGTCATTCTCTCTCCTTCTCTGAGCCATCTGCATCACAGGGCCTGGCCATCCCATGCTGCAGGGAAATGCCTGATGCCCGAAAAAACGATGCAAGCCAAGTCTTGCAGAGGACATCCTCCAACAAGGGTGGAACCACGTGGCCTAGAAGGGCCCCTTCCCCTCCTGAAGTCCTGGCCTTGCACCCTAGAAGCCACTGAGTTACATATGCCCCTTTTTGAACCGTCCACCTGGTTGACTTGCCATCAGTCTTCACTCCCTGGGTGAAATGGCCCTTCCTTAGGGGAGCCTTCCCTGATGAATCCTTTGGCACACAGTCCCTTAAAACACAGTTACCCAAATCGAACACCATTGTATAACTGATTATGGATTTAGCACCTGTCTCTGGAGCTTGACCGTCCCTGAAGGCAGGGACTATGCCTGTCTTGTACCCTGGTTCTGGCACAAGGCCTGGCATGTGGTAGGGCCTTGGTAGATTTTGGATGGAGGCAAGGCTGATGAATAAACAAATGACTAATGAAAGGGACTGCCCAAAATCTACGCTCTTGCTGGGACTAGGGTCAACCTACCAAGAGAGGCCCATCCTTTTCCCTTAAGACCCCAGCGTGGGGGAACACATTTCCCATCAGAGAGGGCCCCCAGGACACCTATCAGGGGAGTCGGCTCCCTCAGCAGCCTGGGCATGACTCAGGGCAGCACTGGGGCCACTGCCTGTGGCTAGATTCACAGGAAATGAGGTGCAGGTTTGTGTGGTTTCCAGGTCTCTTCCTGTGGGGCCTGCTGGGTGCAGACTGAGTGGCTAAAAGGAGGCAGCTGCCTCCCCACCAGAAATTCTTCAGGGCCCAGGGCTTCAATGGCACAGAAGATATTGGGGTTAGGGGCTGAGGAGTCGGAGGAAAGCACCAGCCATTGTAGGAGAGTTTTCAGACTGGGGACAGTTCCTGCCCATACATGGATATCCAGACATTTGGCCCCACAGTCCCCTAGTTCTGCTTTGGTGGGTGTCCATGCCCTTCCTCCTACAAGTGCTGCTTGGTTTAATCTTGTTATCTGTGATGATTGATTTTATGTGCCAGTGTGGCAAGTCCACAGTACCCAGAGATTTGGTCTAACAGCAGTCGAGATGTTGCTGTGAAGGTATTTCTTAGATGAGATTAATATTTAAGTTGGTGGACTTTGAATAAAGCAAATTACCCTCCATGACGTGGCGGGCCTGATCCAGTCAGATGAAGACCTTGAGAAAAAGACTGAGGTCCTTTGAGGAAAAGGAAATCCTGCAGCATCAACTCGCCCCTGAGTCTCCAGCCTGCCCGCCAGCCTCCATAGTTGCACGAGCCAATTTCTTAAAATAAATTCCGTGCCTGTGCCTACACACACACACACACACACACACAATTGGTTCTGTTTCTCTGGAAAACCTGATGAATACATTATCTAAATCCTAAAACAAGATGTGATTTGAGAAAGGATTTGTTGACTGTTTAGGGGAAAAAGGAACAAACCGGGGACTGTAGTTTTGCCATCAAAATATTAGAATTCTAGGATATTTTGATTGTCCAGCTGTCCTACACACTGGTAATTTAGTGAGGATTATCTTTGAAAATCACAGTTATAGGTTCAGCAAATGTACTTGTATGTGCTGATTTTTTCCAATTACGATAGCTCTAGTTTTGCTTCAAGTATTTCACAGCCCCTCTCAGGATAAGAGAACACTGGAGCACCACTGCCCAGTAGAACTTCCTGTGATGATGGAAATGTTCCGTTATTGTGCTGTCCAATAAGGTAGCCACTAGCTACATGTGGCTACTGAGCACTTGAAATGCAGCTAGTGTGACTGAGGAGCTGAATATTTAATTTTATTTCATTTTAAGTAATTTTAAATTCGAATAGCCACATATGGCTAGTGGTATTGTAATGGACAGCACAGCCTTGGAGAGTTACAGATGTCAGTTGGTCTTAGAGTTGCCAGCTCAGTTTCGGAAGAAAGCAGCTGAAAAAGAGGGAGTTCTTGGGAGATGCCCAGGGGACTGTCATGGTTAGCACCTGTCACTCTCCCTTGTTTTCTAGTTTATCTGGCTGGGGAATGTTCTGACTGCTGAAGTGTAAACTCTACAAGATCAGGGACCCTGCTTCATGGCTCACCGGGAAGGGCCTGGTATATACAGTAGGAACTCACTGATATTTGAAGCTGTGCTGGAGTGGCTGGTCAGGCAGGCCCACAGAGGCCTCACAGGGCCTGGGAAGGGCGTAGCTGTCCTGGGCCCCATGGCCTACCTGCTTGCATTGGCACTAGGCCCTGGCTTTGCACAGAGGGGCTTGAGCTTGGGCTTGGCAGGGGTTTCCCTCTGCTGGGCTGACTTCCCATCGTTCCAAGCAGAACACTCAGAAGCACATCACCGAGGTAAATCTGAAAGAGATGCTGTGATGGAGACAGAGCCATTGGCTCTGGTCCTGGTCCTGACATCCTCCCTCCCTAGCTCAGCCCTGCTGACCTCCTTGTTGATGCATATGAATATCTCACTCCCGTCAGCACCAGGCTCCCACCACTCCACCAGACTCTGAGGGCTCTCAACACCCTGCACTGTTTTCTCTGCATCCCGTCTTCCTACCTGAGCCATGCTGCACTTTGTTCCTGGCCTCTGTGGTCACAGTGTGCCCCGCCATGCGTGGGAATGCCCTTCTTGCCCTTTCTGCCTGCCTGGATCCCATCCTTCCCCAGGAAGTTTTCCTTGAATCCCTCAGACCTTGCTAGTCATTTCTATGGCTTTCTCAGAACTATTTCCTGACCTGGGATCACATTCTGCCACCAGATAGCAGGGGACAATGACAGAACAGAGTTTACTCCAGGCACACCAGAACCCATGGCTAGGCGGGCAAAGGGCACCTAAGGAGGCTGAGAGCTGGTGTCACAAAAGCTAAGGTGACACTGAGCACAGTGTTATTGGTTGCCACGGGGCAACATAAAATGACAAGGAGACTGTGTGCCGGTGGTGACTTGCTTTGGAGGATTGGCTGTTGAGCCACTTCCCCTCTCTTTGCCTCCATATCCTCATCTGAAAAATAGGGATAAAAATACCCAACATGTGGGTCTGAGAGATAGCACATGTGAACAGCCTGGCCAGGGCCTGCTTTTCTTTTATCATGGCCTGACTGTCCCTTCACAGGCCACCCCCGGAAGCCTCCTCTTTTCTCTCTCTCCCTTAGCTCCCCATTATATTCTTTCCCAAGTTTTAATTACTCATTTATTATAGTGTTTGTTTAATCTGCCATTATCCAATAGCTAAATTGGTACAAGGACCTCTTTCTGCCTGTTTCCTCAGGATTTCACGAGGTACCTGACCCATAGAAGATACTCAATATACATTAAGTAGACGAAGTCATTATTAGCTCTTTGGACAGGTTTCTTATCCCTGGAATAATGTAAATTCCCAGGTTTCCAGGGTAATACTGATTCTTCCAAACACTTTTTTAAAGTGTTTCGGGGAGGTGGTTTCATCTTTCAGATGGTTTCATCCTCGGGAGAGACAGGGCACAGTTCCATCAGCTTGGTTCCATTCAGCTGGCATTTATCAAGTCCTTGCTCTATGCCAGGCCCTATGCCAAGGGGCCCAGGGAGGAGCAGGTCACATTCTTTTCCCTGGAGGAGCCCATGGAATGGCATGGTGACACGGCAGGCTTCCTTGCCCTGTGCCCTTTACCATGCCGGGGTAAAGCGTGGGTGTCTGTCATCACGGAGTGACTTCCATGGTCTCACAGGCCAGCCCTGCCTCAGAGGACGGACTACCCCTCTATCTATGCAAGGCCATTGCCCTCTGTTCTGCAGTCTCATGTCAGTGACATGGGGTAATGGTACCTATTTGCTGCTGCCTCTCATGGGAGTTCAGTGTTCATGGGGACGGGAACTCTTTAATACAAAATGGCCTATCTTTAGGAAATGTCTCCTGGCAGCTACTTTCTGAAGCCTTTGACAGCTTGAGATGGTGATGCTCTCTCCTGAGGAGGTCTCTGAATCCCTCCCTGCTAGGGCACCCCTTCCCATTAGGTTTTCAACACCCCTGCTTCCTTTCCCCTTGGGTATGAGGTGCCAGCTCTATGCTTAACCGTGCAGACGTGGGTCCAGAAAATCTCAGGGAGCGAGACTGCCTACGCAGCAGGTAGCACAAGTGATTAATTTAGACCAACCAGGCTCAAGCTATGTGACCTCAGGTAAAGCATGTAACCTCTCTGAGTCTCATCTTCAAACTGGGTAAGACCAACTCCACAGGGTTATGGGAAGAAGTTGAGGAGCCTGGCACGAAGTGGGTGCTCAATAAAGTCTACTTTATTAGTAAATTTCCCCTTCTTCAGCTAGACAAATTCACCACCATCACTGGCTGCACTAAACCCAGAGACCTCTTCCTGCAGCAGGGGGAGCTCGGGGATGGACTCAAAGGAGGTAAGAGAGCTGCGCTCAGGCTAGGAGGCCCCCAGAACTCTGCTAGCTTCCTTCACCTGGTCTGGTCAAGGCCAAGAAGCTTCCTGGGGGTAAAATGAGGGCCATGGGCAGTATAGCACAGAGAAGACAATTAGCATCTTACTATGCTGACAATGACTACAATGGGGTGTGGTGGGGACTTGTTAATATTAGTGAATGTAGTAACCACAATGTTGCTCATGTGAAACCTTCATAAGCTTATATATCAACGATACCTTAATAAAAAAAAACAGGGCCATGGGGTGGGCAGGCCTAGGGCAAGGAGGTGCTGGCCCATACTTTTCAAAGAGAAAAATCTAATCATTAATTACACATGTATTTGAGCAATTTTCTATGTGCTAGACAGGTACTTTCTAGGGGTCCTGGGCCAGGGGGTGGAAGGAAGGAGTAAAAGGCAGCTGAGCTCAGCACACTGCCCACACTTGTTTTTGGTTGTTTGATTTGATCCTTTGAGAGGTCTGCCAGCTTGGAATCCCATTCAGATATGATCCCAGGGCCCAGAGAGGGCAATTTTGGGATCAGGTCACGTAGCTGGTCAGTGCAGATCTGGGTCTACAATGCACATCTATGTTTTTGTGCTTCTTAAGATAATTTCTCAGGGGTGGGGGTATGAGTGATCAATTTGGATTTAATTAAAGGGGGACCTCACCCTCTCTTTCAACTGAGAAATACCACCCTTTTGAGAGGAACTGCAGTCTCGAGCTGAAAGCGTCTTTACAGATTGTACTCGATTCTGCTCATTCTCTGATTTTGGAAGGCTGTCGCCCAGAGAGGGTCCCAAAGCCATACAGCAAGTTGGTAACCAAGGGACCGGAACAGGCATGAAGACAGGCTGGAGAGCGCGATGTAATTCTCCCGAGGGCAGCAAAAGGTAGAGGGGGAGACCTCAGTTCTGTCGGGGACCCTCAGACCACCCCTTACAGCTTCAGCAGAACCACTCTCCCTCCTCTTCAAGCTCATTTCCCAACTGTAAAGCCCACTCCCAGTCTCCGAGGACACCACCCTTCCTCACAGTCCCAAGGCCGTTGGAACAACAAAGCAGCACACTTACTGGATTCCCCTCATCAGAAGCATGTGGCAGGGACTCAGCTTAGACGCATGCTTTGGCCGGAGAGGTTTGGGCTTGGGGCCCTTCTGGAAGTTTGCCGAAGTCCTTTGTCCGAGGACACACAGACCGCTCCAGGCTCAGGACAATCTTCAGCAAGAGGCTCCCCGTATCGCTTCGGGTAGCTCCATATCTGCTGGGAGTCAGCAGTTTGTGCGCCTGAAATGGGGCAGGAGTCCTGGGCTCCTTTCAGATCACCAGTGGGCAGCCAAGCCAGGGAAGAAGGCCCAGGGCTCTTTGAGCTCTGTCACAGGGTCCTTGGGACTCTCAGCTTGCGTCTGCACATTCTGTGGTTCTCACAACCACCTGCTTCCTCTGACAGCATCACAGACCATCAAGGAGCCACCTTCCTCAAGTTCCTGTTTCTAGGGCAGAAGAGGCTGCCTTATCATGATCCTGGAGGGAGAAGTTTCTCTCTGGCTTCACAGCTTGGTCTTGCCCAAGGAACACAGAACTGAGGTAAATAAGCAGGAGTTTCCCATGCTTACCTGAATCATACATAATATGCACCTGAGGAAAATCATTAGTATCAGATTCTGGGATCCTCTTATATCTTCTGAATCCAAGCCACCAGAGCAGCAGCCTAGGTGTCTAATTTTCAGCAGTTCAAAAGATTCCTTTGTCTGGCAAACCTAGGAAGCGCTGCCTTGGAGTGATGTGTCTCAGCCTTTAATGTGTACAGGGGATCTTGTTAAACAGCAGATTCTGGTTCAGTGGGTCTGGGGTGGAGTTCATGATTCTGCATTGCTAACAACTCCCAGGTGACATCCAAGTTGCTGGTCTGAGGACCACACGAGTAGCTAGAGCTGCCAGACCAGAAGCCTTAGCATCATCCAGGAATCTGTTAGACATGCAAATTCTCAGGCCGCATCTCAGATCCTCTGAATCAGAAACTCCTTGGGTTAGGCCAGCAGTGTTCTCACAAGCCCTCCTGGTGATGCTGGTTCATGTACTCTGACCTTCAGAGTCACTCAGGTAAGATAAAGCACCTGACAGAATTGTCTTTGGTATGTTATCTTCAGCATTAAAATCAAAATCCCCAGTTCATTAACATCTGACCCACACCCACTTGCTTTCCAGGAGGTGGCTTAGTATTCCTGAGGACAGGTGCTTTTTAACACAAAATGGGCCCCACGTAATGAAATAGCTCCTGAGTCCAGCTCAGACTACACAGCCTTTTCTGGGGCCTTACCAGCAAGGGCACACTCCAGCTCAGGTCCTTCCTTTCTTCCAGGGAATGTTGGTTTGAGATGTAACTCTGCGGGCATTGGCGTGGAGAGCTGAAGAAGCCAGTGTGGGCACTGATCTAACCAGGCCGTTAGAACGGGTGACAGCCACTCCAGGATGTGGCCTGTGGCAGGGAGGGAATTGAGCACAGGCCCACCCTCTTGTTCCTGTCCACATACCACTCTGATGTCCATCTTATTTTGCAAGCAGACTTCCATACCAGTCTCAAGGCGAGGTCCATGCATGAGGTAGGAAGTAGGGAATGACCACCTCTGGTGTCTAAAAAATTTTCAGATACCATTCAGAGAGGGACCCAAGAATTAGCCTTTAAGTCTGGTGCAGGGAAAACGAAAGTTTCTATGGTCAGGATCCTCAACTGACCCTAAGCTACTTGATGATGTAATTGGCCTGATGCTAGGCTACTGCTTCCACACCCACTGGCGATGAGCCATTAGTGTGGTGTTACTAATATAAAGAGCTTTGCCCAGTGCTCTGCCTCCAGAGGCGAATGTGCTTCCAGCACTTGACCTGCCACCGTGAGCATAAAGCCTGGTATAAACCCTTTTATCCCTAATGTTCTGTTGTTAATTTATCTGGGGTCAGTCCCCTCAGGTGAGACAGTGACTTTGGCCCAATCACTTCTCTTCAGCTGTTCCTGGTCTATAAAGCAGACACTGCCCACTTAGCTGAGTTGCCATGAAAACTGGGTAAGGCAATTCGTAGGAATGACCTTGAAAAGAGTATATACTTGGTCACTTCCTGCCTCTCCCTAAGCAGGCATCCTGTGGATAAAGTGAAGGTTCCTGTGGCCAGGATTCTCACCTGGCCCTGGTTGGCTAGCTTACTACACATGTGAGCAATACGTTGTTATTGACTCTATAAAATAGAGCTCTGCCCAGTGCTCTGGGTGACAATGGTGGCATGGCTGCAAGGCTGTAGCAGAGCAGAGCAGAGGCTGGAGTGGCAGAAGCACTGAGGACAGAGGCCCAGAGGACGGCTGTGCAGGCTGAGAGGCCCAGCTTGCTGAATGCAGACTCGATCTGAGTGAACAGGATTTTAGTGATTGACCTGTGTGAATAAAATGAGAGTTCCTGTGGTCAGGATTCTCACCTGGCCCTGGTTAACTAGCTCACTGCACACCTGTAGGCAATACATGGCTGTTGACTCTATATAAAGAGCTCCACCCAGTGCTCTGGGTGTGACATGGTGGCAGGGCTGCAAGGCTGCAGGAGAGCAGAACAGAGGCTGGAGTGGTGGCAGTGCCAAGGACAGAGGCCCAGAGGATGGCTGTGTGGGATGACTGTGCAGAGGCCCAGAGGACAGCTGTGTGGGATGACTGTGTGGGATGGCTATGCAGGCAGAGAGGCCCAGAGGACAGCCGTGTGGACAGAGGGGCCCAGAGGCAGAGACCAGCTTGCTGCAGACAGACTCGCTCTGAGTGAACGGGATTTTAGTGACTGACCTGCTACCTGGAAATAAAGTTGGGTATTAACCCTTTCACCCCAAGAACATTTTGCTGTCATTTTCTTTGGTCACACTGAATCCATAGCGAACTTGCCTGGGGCTGAAACCCATTAGCAAGACAATTAGCATAGTCGGCAGGATTCACCAAGGAAAAAGACAGGCTGCCCTTATGGGAGGGGTGCTTCAGCGGGCTGCCCCTGTGAATGGGGAAACAGTGGATTGTCCCCCAATGGGTATGTGGTCTGAGGTGGCTTGCCTCCTAGAGGACTGGGCCCCACCCTAGGACTGGAGGCAACTGGAGATGACACCTGAGGCAGTAGGGGTGGCTCTTGATATAGTAAGCAGATCCTTTGAGAAGCAGAGTGCCCATGAGGAGTGGGGACTGTGGGTTGGCTGCTTTTCACAGTCTTAAAAAGGTCTACAGAGGAGACCTGAGAAATGGTGGCGCGAGAATGCGAGCTGCAAACTTCAGTCGATTCCCTGAGGAGGGAAATGGTATTGATGCAAGAGGAGGTGGCACGAGAAGGCGGGCTGCAAACCTCTGGGGATTCCCTGAGGAAGGAGATGGCCTTGATGCGGGAGGAGGCAGCATGAGAGCGCCCGCAGCAAGGTGCCAATGGAGACGGCAGCGCTGCCAGATGTTCTGAAGGAGGAGGAGGCCATCAAGGAAAAGGACGAGCTCCTGAGGGAAGCACAGGCAGAGGTAGCAAGAGAACATCAGCTGTGAAGAATTGAGGTGAAGGTAAGAGTGCTTCTGAAGACTGAGCTGGCATTGCTGTGAGGCACTGCAGCAGAGGAGGCACTCGGGGGAGGGGAGAGAAAGGTGCCATTAGCCCCAGAAATGAAGGAGCTGGGGAAGGATGAAGGCGTGGTGCTGGAGGCACTGGCCCCTCCTGTATTGAAAGCATGCCCAGTGGCTGTAAAGAAAATAAAGACCCAGCAGCTGAAAGTTCCCCGAGGAGCAGCCCCTCCCCAGGTCGTGGAGCACTCTATAGGGCGCCCCTATACTCAGGCTGAACAGGTGGCTGTGGGACTTAGGGGTGGCTGGAATTGTTCTGTCGGGATCAGAGATAGGCAAGCTGTCTTCCCTGACAGTGCAGCCGCCTTGAGGCAGCAATTACAAGATGCGAGGTGACAAATACAGTAGGTGAAGCAACAAGAACCCGGAAATAAGACCTGTTGCTCACAGGAATTTGAGGGGCCTCGTGAGGGTTACGAGGACCCAGATGTGGGTTGATTTGCTACAGGCAGGAGTAGATGGAAAGAAATTAGACAGGAAGCCAAACAGGATCTTACTGGAGCTATGGCAACAACTGAAACCAGAGCAGTAGTTCCAGCCAGTAAGACCAAAGAGGCAGAGGTCAGGGACAGAGCCACGAGTCCGGCCTGTGTGTCTGCAAGACATTTTGCTGGAGAGGCTGGAAAACAATGTTCGAGCTTCCTTGCACAGGGACCATTGCAGAGGACTAAGGGCACATAGATTGAGAGGAGAGAATCCTGGAGGGGTGGAGTGTGGATAAAATGAGAGTCCCTGTGGTCAGGATTCTCACTTGGCCCTGGTTGACTAGCTCACTGCACACCTGTGGGCAATACATGGCTGTTGACTCTATATAAAGAGCTCCGCCCAGTGCTCTGGGCACAACACGGTGGCAGGGCTGCAAGGCTGCAGGAGAGCAGAGCAGAGGCTGGAGTGGTGGCAGTGCCAATGACTGAGGCCCAGAAGATGGCTGTGCAGGATGACTGTGCAGAGGGGCCCAGAGGACGACTGTGCAGGACAGCTGTGCAGGCAGAGAGGCCCAGAGGACAGCTGTGTGGGACGGCTGTGTGGAAGAGGGGCCCAGAGGGAGAGACCAGCTTGCTGCATACAGACTCGCTCTGAATGAATGGGATTCTAGTGACTGACCTGCCACCTGAAAAATAAAATTGGGTATAACTCTTTCACCCCAAGAACGTTTTGTTGTCATTTTCTTTGGTCACACTGAATCCATAGCAAACTTGCCCAGGGCTGAAACCCATTGACAAGACACCTGCTACAGTGGAAATAAAGTTGGGTATAACCCTTTCACCCCAAGAATATTTTACCGTCATTTCTTTGGTCACACTGAATCCATAGTGAACTTGCCTGGGGCTGAAACCCGTTGGCAAGACACACCCCCATGTGTTTTTGGACTGAAAAAAAAGGAAATGAGAAAGGATGACTGGGTAAGGATCAGTCAGGTATAGTCATTTGGGGCCTGATTTCAGGCACAAAACTAGGGTGGGAAAGCAGGTAACCACCTGTGCTGAATGTGGCCAGGTAGGCTGGAGCAACATGAGCTATAAAAGCAACTGTGGCCATCAGACCACCTCCAGGTCCAGAACTCCGTGTTGACCTGTACTGTCAGGAACTCAGCTTGGGACCTGAGTTCGTCCACATGTGTGTTTCATCTCCCATGCCAGAATGAACAGGGTCCATGTCATCTTACAAGTATCTCCCACGGACACAGCAACATAAATGTACTGTGGTAGCAGCAGATCATTCAAAACTGAGGTGACGGCCTCGTGAAATAATTCTTGGTGGGCATAAAGTCAGCCTTTTCTGGAGAAATATGGCCTGGTCTGTTTGAGGAACCCATACAAGTGGCTGCATGTTAGTCGGGGTGGGATCTAGCAAGCCCACTCAGACGGCAGAGCTGAAATGGGAGTGCCTTCCCAAGACGTTGGCACATCCTTCTTCACCACAAACTGCATGGTCGGGCTTCTCACAGTTTTTGGTTTGAGAGGAATACAGGCATGTCAGATGGGCGTAGGCTTTAATCCTGGCCGGGCTTATGACCAAGTATGTGAAAATTCCCAGCATGGAGCTCACAATAACTCGGTCCCTGCCCAAACCCTAGTGAGTGGCTTGAGAGAAATAACACCAGCAATCCAGTAACAATGAGACATATACAGCTTTATTTAATAATCTGTAAAAAGTTGTATTCTGGCAGAGTGATGCATTCCCTATCTCAGCAGAAAGCAAACACTATATCTGAAAAGCTCCTTCCTCAGAGTTGGAACTGTATTACCTGAGCTTACATCTCGATGCCTTGAAGAGCTGGGCCCTCGCTGAGTGGCAGTTGGTTTCAGCTCCCTGCAGCGATACTCTCTGGCTGTGATCCCCTCACATAGCAGTAAACTAAGCACAATTTTCCCTGACCAGGCTGCCCTTGAAGACTGGCCCCTTCCCTCCTACAGAAGAGAGTTCACAGGATTAACAATCTAAGAAATGGGCTTCATATCAGTTTTGTTTAGCTTCCTTTAAGTCTGATGAAATCTAGGCTATGTATGTTAAACATAATATTCTGTTAATGTCTTCTCCCCTCAGCCATTTCCTCACCATCTATATAACTTTTAAGTCATACTTCTCCCTTTTCTGAGATTGCAGGATGGAAAAACGCTCTCCATCACAGACCTGGGAGGCACTTCTTGCAGCTGCCTGCTAAGTGGCGTCAGACACCGCTGCGACAGCAGCCTTGCTCCTGCAGAGCAGAAGCCTGACATTTTGTTTTCCACCTTCCTGTGCTAAGACAGCCCAGTAATTAAGCCACATTCACTGCTTGGGAAAAACTCCTTGTTGCATCAGAACCTGATCATTCATGGGCTTCTACTAAAATATGCCCCTTCCTCTTACTTATAGGACAGTATTTGTGAATTCACTTGGACAGAAGGAAGTGGCTGGCCACCCTGTCTGCCTCTTTATGTGACAGGCTCCGTTCTATTGGTCACAATCAATCAACAGTCCAAACAGTAATTGTGATCTTTCACATTCCTCAGAGCTACTCTCCTGAAGTCACTATGGAAATCTTGTTGACCAATCAGGAACCAAAAGAGAATGCAGTGGCCTATTCAACCTACAAATCTGTTCTGCATATTTCCCCTAAAAAACCTTTGAAAATGAAAAAAAAAAATCCCTTTGTTTTTTGCAGAAGCTCTACAAGAAAGCATGTCTAAAATCACAGAACTAAGCACACACAAACACAGACACACGTGCTCACACACATACGTCAAGATCAAAGAATCTTATCAGATACATAGTTGGGAAAGCACGGGAAAGCTGGCAAGAGAAGATATGGAGGTTTGATCAAAGATGCTGGAATGTTACAGTAATGACATGGAAGTGGTTCTTGGTACATACAAAAAAAGAGGGTGGGCAGGCAGATAGAATGACAAATCCAGGATACCAGAGAGAGAGTCAGTGACCATGCAGGAGTTAAAAGATAGATGCCAGTTTGCTGGATGAAATGTTATATTATGGAGTGGTCGTTTGAAGGAGGATGGACTTGCATGGTCCAGGGGAAGAACATTTGCTTAGCAGGACACCTCCATGGTCTGGTGTCTGTCCAGAACATCAGGGGACTCAGAGGATTCTTGAGTTCCATCTGACTGATTGCTGGTGACAGATCGGCTGAAGGTACTTTCTCCAGAGCCGATGCTACTTGAGGTTGAGTGGGTTCGTGATCGGGCGAGCCGAGTCATGCTGGCAGATGGTACTGTAAGAAAGAACCACGAAGACTAGGAGATGGAGCCCTGGTTAAGCTCAGTTAATCCAGAAGTTTCACCAAAGGCTTTAGGTTTAGCTTTCCCAACCCATTTAAGGTGACACCCAGGACAAATATAACCATCTCCATTTTGCATTATTTGCTTTAGGTGAGTGGCTATATTCAAGGCTGCTTTAATCCTCTAGAGTTGGTCAGAATCTCAACTGATTCTAGTCCACAGCAGAACAAGGGAACACCTAAGTCAAGAGTGTATCTCTTAGCTATGCCCACACCATTCATACAGTGATTAGGAAGGAGGCTTTGGGAACCCAAATGGGTGACCAAATCCTGCAGTGCATGCAAGACTAAACCAAAAGAAAGACAAACACCACACAAATATGAAAGGTATTTCACAAACACAGTGCAAGCCCGATACAACAAGACTACCATCCGTGTCCACAGGCTACCCTTGCTAGCTGGAGAGGAGATGTGTAGGAAGGTATGGGTGTAGGGGAGGGCAGGTAGGCCTGGAGCTGGCCTCTGCACAGGCAGTGAGGTACAGGCTGCCTTTGAGGGAAGAGTTCTGGGGAATGGTGTTTACTCAGATCCTGTTCTGTCACTGCTTTAACCCTAATGTCCTTCCAGCTTGGCCAGCACAGGGCCTTACCTAGCACAGCCTCCCTATCGTCCTGAGGCACTAGTCACTCCTCTCACTGTCATTTCAACGTGGGGGTCAAAAGATGCCATCACTTGCTGTTCTCTGGGCACAGGCTCTGACACTCCTATTTAGAATCAAGGCTGCCTTTGTCTGGGGGTTAATGCAAGGATCAGGAGGTGGTGGTAGAAGAGGGGCCCTGCCTGTAAAGTTTCACCTGTTGTTATGACCCTAGATTTGAGAGGACAAGAGGAAGCCTGCTTTTTACAACCCGCTCCTTTTTTCTTTTCTAAGGGACCAGGGCTGGACCTGTAGGCTAGTCCTCTTGGGCACAACGAGCCACGTTCTATCGGGCTCTCACTGTACAGGAAAACCGTGGACATGCTGCAGGCAGCCAGTGCAGCCAGGAGAGCGGGGCTGGGAGAAGGGGACAGGGCCAGCACAGGGGAAGGTACCTGACTCGGTGCTCAGGTGACTGAGCTGCACATACGGGACTGGAAGCAGGATGGACACAGGAAAAGGCAGGTTAGTGACCTGAGAATGCCTAGTAGCACTTCAGCTGCCTAGTAGACACTGACAGAATACTCTAGGTCAGGGATGCAGCTTTATTTTAAGGTACAGAGAGGAGGTGAAGCTGGTTGATGTTTCAACATCTCGATTTTACTTTTCTCAACTAGTCAAAAGCAACTGTTTTCCCCTTCACTATAAACATCCATCCTGCTTCAGATTAGGAATGGGCTGGAAGATCAGTTGTTTCCTAGGAAAGGGATATAGAGATGTTTCCTAAGAGAGGGACTTCTGCTCCTCCCAGTGAGCCAGAGGGATGTGAGTGTGGGCTCGGTTGGTAGTGGCTCACAGACAGGGATGACACAGCCACTCTAGATGAGACATACATGGTCTGCCTGCCAGGTACAGGGCTGTACCCAGGGGCCCAGCTGCTGCCCAATGGCCACTTTCCACACTAATACCAAAGATAGGAGAAAAATCACCCTACTGGGTAAAGAGCTCTGTACCTGAGTGGAAGAGGTTTTCTTCTTAAAACTCCAAGAAAGGAGCAAGTGTGGATATTCTGTGACAAATGAGAAAGCTTAGGGGTTTCACAATACAAGAGACCAGGACAGCAGCACATGAAAAGGACACACCCTTGGACTCACTCTAAATACTCTGCAACGTCATCTCCTATGTTGGAGCAAATCTAACTGAAGACACTACCCTTTTTTTCTAGAGTTGCCATTTTGTTTTCAAGGCCACCAGCCGAGTGCAAATGCAAATCATAATTTCAGATTCACAGCTAGGACAGTCTAAACTTGAGTGTTTGAAAATTTGGGATCTGGAGTCAGATTGCCAAGGTTTAAATATGGTTCTGCAACTGAACTGTTACCCTGAGAAATGTGCTTACCCTCTTTGAGTTTCAGTTTCCTCTTCTATAAAATGGGACACATAACAGAACTTACCTCTTAAGGTTATAAATATAGAGCGTTGGCACAAGGTAAGTGCTTAATAAGTGTTAGCTCGTCTTACGTGCATGCAGATGTATGCTCCATTGACACTTTAGTTTCTACTTGACTTCAGGCTAGTTAGCATAGAGGTTATACCCTGAGAATGGTGGGCTCCACAACTCTCAAAATGACCCCATTATCAGTAAATCTCTGCTAGATAGAAAGTTGTATACTACTCACTGTAGCCCATCCCCTGCAAAAAGTACTTGAAGGCCTCAGTAAGCTTCCCGGGCTAGGGGGACAAAATAAGAAGGCATTAATCTTTGCATAAGCAGAGAGGTAGAATCAAATTGGTGCTTTAAAAGAATTCTCCTTACCTGAACTACTTGGGGCAGTCCACCACAGTCTGCCATCTAGAAGAGAAAAAATATGTAAGTTAGCTGGGACTCAAACTTAGGGGAAATGCTCTGAACATCCACAAGTCACCCATAAAACTGAACTGTAAGTTCCTTAACTAACTGCAACCTAGTGTACATCTCCTCAGTGCACTCTTACACAGACTTAGATCCTAGCAATAACCTTGGGTATAAAAGATGATTCATTATTTATTAATCAGTAAGTGCAGAGCCTGGCTTTCAGACCCCTGGTGGGAGGAGTAGAAGTGAAGTTAACCACTATATTCAACCATGGTTCCATCTCCACCTGAAGAATGTTGCTTAAAGAGTCCTCAAGTGTGATTAACTTCTCAGTGTACCATGCTTTCTAAATTCCCTGTCAACTCTGTTATGTTTATTCCATGATTGAGGGGATTTCTCCAATCTGGCACTGTGGCTAAATTCTGCCAGCTCGCTTGGTCAGCCACTTTCCTCTCATAGCTGGATTTGGTGAGGCTGTCTCCACTTCATAAAGCTTTATAGTTGGTTATTCTCACCTGTGCAAAGATTTCTAGAGTCAGGTTTTGTCACCATGCACTGGAATTACCTGGAAGACTTGTTAAAACTCATATTCTTGAGTCCCTGCCCTAGTGATTCTGATTTAATAAAACTAGGATGGGGCTCAAGAACTTGCATTTCTTACAAGCTCCTAGATGATGCAAATTCTGCCAGTCTGTAGAAAGCACCGTTTCTAGGGCATAGTGGTCAACCACGAGCCCACCCTCTTCCTTACAGCTGTTATGCATTCTGTACTCTGTTATACCTATTTGGGCCAACTGGCATTTAAAAAAGAAAGACGTGAACTCCATGGTTTCTACTCACTAGCATGGAAACTTTGTTTGAGGCGGGGATGGAATGCCACAGAAGGCACAGGAATTTGAGATTAACAAGGAACAATCCCCTGATAATTCTAAGCATAATATTAGCCTGATTTAAGTACAAAACAAACCTAACTGGCGCAGGTTGTATTTTCATGAAGTTTAGGGAGTCAAAATCTGATTAGAACCATAAAACAGTTTCCATACGCAGAGAGAGAACACTGGTAGAGACTACTTCCAGGCTGAATACCTATGAAATAGCTGGAAAGTCAGTTCAATCATGTTGTTGTGGATGGGCATTTTTGCCCAGAAATAACCACGTCTATGGCTACTGTAGACTTTAGTTTTATGTTTCTGGATTCAGACCTGCAGTGAAAAACTAATTTGAAACCACATACTTTTAAACAAACATTCATCTTTTAGACTAGTTCATCGATCACTTGGACCCCAGAATGCTGAGTTTTGTTACCTCACAGCATTAATCTCATGTTATATTTCTAGGAACTATGGGCTATTTTTGGTGAGAGCACTCTCCTTTCAAGCACAAGGGAAGAAAACAGAGGCCTTTCAGGTGGGAAAGTAGCAGGAAAAAACATAAGATGAGCACTTCAATCCACACTAAACCAAGAGTTCAGGTCCCTAACACTTCACTACAGGTTCTATAAAAAGTGAGGTTGACACTCTTGCCTGGGGAACAATCACTGGGGGAGACACCGATACCAACCCTAGAAATTTAGTAGAAGAGTTGCTCTTTATTTGCCCTAAGAGAAAGAAAATGCATCCACCCTCATCATTAGGATGTTATTGGACACTTCCTTACAAATACAACAAGATTAAGCATATAAAGAATTTCTAGCCATTATCTTAATTCCTACATTAAATATTGCTTACAGAATTTTTAACGACAAGGGAAAAATTCATGTCAAAAAGCTGAAGAAAACAAATAGGCTATAAATATTCTATGATCTTAATGATGTAAAAATGTATAGGAAAGACACTGATATTTTTATCAGAGGTTTTGGGTGGTAGCATTATGGGTAATTTTTTTCTTTCTACCTTTATTTCCAAATTTTCTACAATAAGAATATATTCAGGAAAAAAACATTAAAAAAAAAAGAGAGAGAGAGAGACAGAAGCTTTCCTTCCTTCTGGGCAACTATTCCAGAAATAGAATAATTTGAACCATGGATAATTTATTCACAAATGGTTGGCAAATGAGGATAGAATACCTTTAGCAAAGTTGTATTTATAGGATTCAGGCGAGAATTGCATTCAACCTTAAAAAGAGAGAGAGAACAATTCTATGAACTGCTAGAAAAATAAGATACAGCTTGACATAATAATGATCTTCTCATATAAACAGCTCAGTTTGGAGATGGCTCCATCGGTCAAAGAAATTACCAAAATACAGAGTGGGAGACAGATGATGAACTTTTTATCTGTTCTGAGCAGATCTAAATCTGGCTAATATCATCTTCTCAATCTGTTACAAGCAGATTTTTTAATAAACTACATATTGAGTCTAATTCCACCTACTGGTTACATAACATGGGGCAAGTTACTACTTCTTTAAAGAGTGAATGGGACTAGGGCCCTCACCTGCTGGGTCCTTGATGGCTTCCCAGCACAAAGGGCCCTGACAGCCTCGCTCATTTCTCACCCCTTTCCTCTGCCCTGAGGTAATTGAGTGTGCCATTCTGTACACCCTCTTTTCCTCCTCAAGGTCTCTGGCTATCCCACCTACTTTTCTCACCACAGTCATCATAATTAAGAATTGCAAACTTAAGTATTTACATGTTTGATATCTTGCATTTGTATCCACGAAGGAGAAGATGTTTTGGGGAGACACTGTCTAGGTTCAGGAATGTTTTTTGAATAATTTGATCAACTGGATGTCTCCTTTACACATGCTTACCAAGCACACACATACACAACACTATGCTAAGAGTTTGGAATCTTGTGGGGTGAAAACATAGAGGACAGAATGACATCACTTCAAAATTTTACAACCAAGTTGAGTAAGTATAGAAGGATGAGCAGGAGTTCTAGTTACTGTAGGAAAAAGTGGACAATTGAAGGCTTCCAGAATCAAGGTGAAAGCATAAGCAAAGACCCAGGGGTTATGACGTGAATGTGCAGGACACGCATAGGGTTACAGAGGCAAACATGGTATGAAGATACACCAGAGGTGAGGCTGGGGAGGTACACTGGAACTGACTGTGGAAGGCAAGAAGCCATGGAAGGTTTCTAAGGTGGCAGGATTTGAGTTGTTAAGGAAAATAACCAGCAGTGGCCTGTATAACAGATTGTAGCGGCAGCAAGCCTGTTAGGGAGTTATTAAAATTACCTTGGCAAGAACCAATAATCTAGGTGAACTTTTGCTCTGGGCATTGATGATGGACAGGTACATAAAACACTTCTAAAATCAGGGGATAATCTAAAAACCAGGATAACCAAGTCAAAGTTTGTGCTTTATACAAATGACAATGCAGATAGTGATAAACAAATGTACTAGTTTACTATAGAATATGTATTAACCCTAAAGGATAGAATTTAAAAACTGGATCCTTAATTGCCAGGCACAGTACTTAGAACACAGCATATACACAAATAATGTTTTCTGAAGGATGAACTCTCAAGTCTGAATTAAATATAATAAATCATGCTTTGCTTGGTTTACCACTTTGTAACTTCTATAACTTTATAAGAAGTCTCCATATCTGGTAGGCCAAGCAAAATGGTGGGTTTTTGACATGTCTACTCTCTTCCCAGTTCCCCAAACACAGACTCTATCTTATTCATTTTTGTATTCTCCATAACATCGATAAAATAGAAGCTCAAAAAGTCATGTTGAATGAGGAAGTGAGCAAAAATACCTAGCAGCAGTGACCAGAATTTGTGGAGTTTTTTCTGCTTTTTCATGTATGGAAAGCCTTCTAGTATTAGCAATTTGTGGAATAAAATACTCAGTGGGGAAGTTAACATTTGAATCTATTTGGAAGAGCATCTTTTTTGTGGCACAGACGGGTCTCCTGAAGTTCTTCTCTATAAATGTTGAAGGTTTGGAAATCCCAAAAAGAGACCTTACCTGGACTGGCCAATCTACATAGTCTTGAAAAATAATGCTGCTTTAAGTCCACACAATTTGAAAGACAAAAATAATACTATTTTCCTGTTTCAGGTATACATGTTTATGAAAAAATGTCTTTGATAGATATTTTTATAGCATGCATCTCCACCTTTTTAGCCATAAAAGACTGACACCTATAAAACTCCTTTTTGAGGGACTGGGATCATCACTGTAACTTTACCACCATTGGAGAAAAAATTATTTTTGGGGGACTTGAGGGTCATTTGCCTCTGCACTCAAGCCATGCCATGTATTTTACACCAGAATGCTTTACAGGGCAGCTCAGGGAGGTGTGAATATATTATCATATCTATCTCACAAACACACCCCTTTGCCCAATACAACTTCTTACTTATGTCTACACCTCTGATTAGTTAGTAGACCCTTTCCAAAAAGCCTTACTCCCTAACGTTTTGCTCTAAATAGGACAGAAGTGAAAGCTGACAAAGAAAACCAGGTAATTTCACACAGATACTTAGTTAAATTACATATGCTGGGGGAAAGATAAGCCAATGCTAATAGGCAAATGAAAACCGTCAACTTCATTTGTAATCAAAGAAGTGCGAATTAAAACAGTGAGACACCAATTTTAACCTATCAAATTAACTGTGAATAAAATAAAAAAATCCAGTGTTGGACAGCGTACTATGAAACAGGCACTGTCATACAGTGCTGGTGCCAAGAGAGTGCAACATCCTTTCTGGAAAGGAATCTGGCAAAATATATCAAAATCCTCGCAAAGGTTTGATTTCTGACACAGTAATTCCACTTTTGGAAATCCATCCCAGGGAAACGATCAAAAATTCAAAATAAGGATGTTCAAAAGCAACAGTATTAACGGGAAAAATCAGAAATAATCAACTGAAGAATGAGGTTAAACAAAGGTACATCTTTAAGACTGAGTATTATACAGTCATACTGACTTTAAAATATGGAAAAACACATTAATAGTATTAAGTAATCAGGTCCTGAAACCTTCTATAGTTGGTATCATCCTGTGGATAAAATGAAGGCTCCTGTGGCCAGGATTCTCACCTGGCCCTGGTTGGCTAGCTCACTACACATGTGTGGGCAATACGTTGCTATTGACCCTATATAAAGAGCCCTACCCAGTGCTCTGGGAGGCATGACGGCACGGCTGCAAGGCTGCAGGAGAGCAGAGCAGAGGCTGGAGTGGTGGCGGCACTGAGGACAGAGCCAGAGGATGGGTGCGCAGGCAGATAGGCCCCAGAGGACGGCTGTGCAGGCCGAGAGGCCGAGACCAGCTTGCTGCATGCAGACTCGCTCTGAGTGAATGGGATTTTAGTGACTGACCTGTCACCATTGAAATAAAGTTGGGTATAACCCTTTCACCCCCAAGAATGTTCTACTGTCATTTCTTTGGTCACATTAAATCCATAGTGAACTTGCCCAGGGCTGAAACCCATTGGCAAGACACACCCAATCCATGGTTTGTTTGTTTGTTTCTTAATCCAATCTGCGGTAAAAGAAAAAACAGTCTGCCTTTGAGAAACAGGATTTTGATTTTTCTCTTTTTTCATATATTTTACAGTGAGCATATATTATTTTTACCAATGTGCTTTGTGTTAGAAAAGGAGACAGAGAGAAGCTTATAGGCTCTCAGCAGTCCTGCTGATACACTTTCAGATTTATGGTGGCTGCAGAAGGCCAAGGCTGTCAAAAATCTGACAATAAGATAATGTGTTTAGTTATCCTACTTGCCACAAAATAAACCTCACCACACAAAGCAATCAGGGGCAATATGATCCATTCTGATGAAACCTAGTGATCGAAGAGGAATTAATTACTGGGTAACAAAGAGAAAACCCAGATACGTGTAATCAAAAATAACAGAAACCAATATTTACCAACTGTTTCTAGGGTCAGCAGTGTTCTGTATATATGTATACATTTCACTGCATTTTAATCTCATTCCTTTTCACATTCCTTCCAACATCAGGACATACTTACCACAGCTTCAACCGCAGGTGAATTGTCTCCTACCACCAACAAAGTAGAACACCTGGGGAAAGGCAAAATAAGAGGTGACACTGCGCAAACAGCACATATTCTCCACTGAACTCTGCATTAGTCCATGAAAGGCAAAGACAGATATTTAGCAACTTTCTGGGGAAACTGAGGGACTTACTTTAATGTCTTTGATCTATTATCATTTTGGCCCAGCACGGGTCTTTCAATCTCCAGGTCTCTGCGTCTAGAAAAACAAAAACAGCAATACTCTTTTCAGGTAAAATCACAGCAACTTGGGTTATTTCTTGGTTGTGAAAACCAAAATGAATCAAGAAATGTGGAAACTATCTTTCCTTCACATATGATGAGAAAAGGGGCCCTTGTGCACTTTGTTTAGGAGTAGTCATTTCAGGGTTATCTTGAGGGGTACAGAAGAGTTGTTCACAAGGCTGCTGGCTCAACCCTGGGGACTCTGTGGGATACTAAAAGTTTAGAGGCAACCTCAGAACTCAACATCAGTGCTACTGAAACCCACAAGTCCAAAGTGTTTAATTTTCCACTAGTTTACAGGAATAAATTCTTTAAGAGAAGGGGAACTATTTCCTGCAACTAACACAGTTTAGTGCAATATTTAATAAAGCTTTCTGATTTGAACTAAAAATAAGGAGACTGTGTTATACAGAGGGAGGAGGAGCTAGAGAGACCAGGTTCAAAACCAGCTTTGCTCCTTACTGGCCAGGTAACTGGGGTAAGTTATAGCTGACTCATTTTCTCATTCTTTTCCCACATATCCACAAAGCTAGCAGAAGCTAACATCTTTATTGGAGAAGCTGGTACCACGGTAAGAACCAGGCTCTCTAAGTAAGTAGGGGAGATGTGACAGTAGATTTTGGAAAACACAAACAAAAGAGAATTTAATACCATCCATGTGTTACTTCTGTCTGATGACAATGTATGAGTAAAGAGAAACTGAGTTAAGCCTCAAGACTCCAATTCTTAGCATCCTCTACATGTATTTTCCTGTGTTACCTCAAATTAGTTGTGCATTTTTGTGTATGTACACAACTTAGGTACAAAACATCTTAAAACTACAACTGCTATTTGAATATGCCTGAAACAGCTTTTAGTTCATTCCTTCTTGAAAGCTGTTTTCCTGTCTGTGAAAGAGCTCCCTCTTCTATGACGAAACAGCACAAAAGCAGCCCCACCACACAACAGCAGAAGAAGCAGTTTGTTTCCCTTCCCCAGTCCCTGAAATGCCCATTATCTTTTAAGACTTAGTCTGCATGTAAGTGAAGGCAGAGGAAACAACTGTACCCATTATAGGAACCCAGGAAGAGCTGTAGGTTTTCTTGGTTGATATCTTGGGCAATATGTAGTCTGTAGGTTTGAATCAGGTCCAGGTTGGCCTGCAGCTCTTCCTAGAATAATAGAAAGAAGACACAGGTAAACTTCTGAGCTACTGTAAAAATCTAGATTTTAGTTTGGCCAAATCTCCCTGTCCATGATGGGAAATGGGGCAGAGCCTGGGGTCTACTAACACAGGTAGGCTGAATGGTTGGAATTTTTAAAATTTGCATCAGACTGGTTCAGCACCATATTCTGTGTGGGAAAAGGGCACCAAAGAACCTATTATGGAAAAGGTAATCAACTCCAGATCATGTATAAAGACTTGGGATACATTTTGGATATCTTTACTTGCGGGACAATGAAAACTGCACTAGACTTGGATCTAAGTACTAGCTATGGAACTTAGGTCATCTAACCATTCAGAATCCTAGTTTCCTTATCTGTGTTTTATTCATGTTTTGCCATTTCTCATAAAAATAGAGATAAGTGTCTATAAAATGAATAACCAGCTATCTAATATGGCTGTTTAAAGATTAAATAAGAAAAGGTATATGAACTGTAAAGTGTAATGAATGGAAGGTAACATTTCTTTTAATAGCCATAAATCTGTTTAATTATCTGTATCTTTAACCAGTATATTATCTATTTATATAGTATCATTTAATAATATGTTATAGAATTATATATTACATTCCATTTATGGTATTTTATTAAGTCAATTTATCATTTATTTAATATTATCACTAATACTGTTAAAGGTATAAAAAACAAGAGAAACAAAAATGTCTACACAGTGAAAAATGAGTCTCCTCCCCCACTACCCATTCTCCAGTGGACCCTCTACTGCTGGCCTTCTCAGAGACCATAAGAATCAGTTGCTAGGTTCTTGTATGCATAAGCATATATGTATACATTATACACACACACACATGCATGCATACCTCATTAAGCAGAATGGAAAATGTTTGTCTTGGAGGAAAGAAATGTATCAGGGATAATGAAAGAGTCAGTTAACCCAGGGCAGTATAGAAAGGTCACCATCAAGCCTTGTAGAGAAACAGATAAGGAGAACATTTGTTTGCATCTCACTACCATATGGGTGAACTAAGCCAAAAATACAGTTGGAAACTGACCACATGATCAGAGTCTACCTGAAACTGAAGGGCACTGGAGTCACTCTGAGGAAATTTGGTAAATGATAAAGATATTATAATAAAAGAAAACAACAAATGGAGCACATGGTAATTAGAGATGAAATGATCTAGCCAGTTCTCCCTTGAAGGTATGGAGAGGAACTTGAGCAGCAAAGTCTGAGATGAAAAAGGGAAGAAACTATATTGGTATAAAAGGGTTAAGACCAGCATAAGTGCTAATGGAGCTTCTCAGGCAAGGCTGTTATGTATAAATTGCCCCCCACCCATCCATTTTTTCTAAAAAAACAACAAAACAAAACAAAACACAAATTGTAGCTAGGCATACTGTTATATACCTTGCTTTCAAGTATGATAGAGAGCATTCCTTATCAGGACAAACAGAGCTGTCTTGTTTATTTATACTACCTGTTTCTCCACATCCTTACTAGTACTAGTACATATGGCCACTCTTTTGACTTTTATTAATTTGACAGATTAAAAAGAGGGGGATATCATTGTGGGTTTTTTTCCTCTTATTAGTGAAGAGGAGATTATTCATTTTTAAAAACTTTGTTTCCATTTCAAAGCAATAAAAGCACTACAAGCACTTGCTTGCTTAAATTTTAAATAAGTTCAGCTTTGTGACAACCCACCATCTATGACCTCATTATGTTTTTAACTAAACACACATTATGTATACATTATAAAGATTTTCTTGCTTTATAGAAATTATTAAAATCTGCTCTCAGCTTTTCCATTTTTGAAATAGTGTTTCTAACATATCTGAATGCAAATACTGCAAGCAAAGCCTCATTCTTCCCCATCAGGCACCATCAAAATACCTTAGAAATAATTGCTTTGGCTAATCAACCTACCACAGGTATCCTACACCAAGTCTCCTCACAGGTTACTTAACACCCTCTGAATACATGTTATAGTTCCTTTCTTTTTTTTTTAAGTAAAGGCTTCATTTTTTTTTTTGAGAGGGCATCTCTCATATTTATCGATCATATGGTTGTTAACAACAATAAAATTCTGTATAGGGGACTCAATGCACAATTATTAATCAACCCCAAGCCTAATTCTCAACAGTCTCCAATCTTCTGAAGCATAACGAACAAGTTCTTAAATGGTGAACAAGTTCTTACATAGTGAATAAGTTCTTACATGGTGAACAGTGCAAGGGCAGTCATCACAGAAACTTTCGGTTTTGATAACGCATCGTGAACTATAAACAATCAGGTCAGATATGATTATTTGTTTGATTTTTATACTTGATTTATATGTGAATCCCACATTTCTCCCTTATTATTATTATTTATTTTTTTAATAAAATAAGGCTTCATTTTTTAAGAGCAGTTCTAGGTTCACAGCAAAATTGAGAAGGCAGCTTCCTCTTTGCTTTTGAGCAAATTTTTGCCTCTTCCTGGAATGAACCTCTTCCTCTTAGTCTAAAATGTTGAATTTTATCTATCCTTCAAGGCTGCACTGGGATACTGACTCAACTCTGAAGCCTTCCCTGATCCCCATATCAGAAGTAAAACTCTCCTGCCTCTGAATTCCTCTAGGTCCTTTACAGTGCCTCTAGTTCTAAGAGGCACCCTGGCATTGTATAAAGAAGAAAGCTCAGTCAGGCTCATCTGATTTCGAATCAATCTCCTTCCTTGATATGTTACTAGCTACTGTGTAAATCAATTCATTCAGTGGGAATAACACAATTCCCATTATGAGATTATAAGACTGAATTGATTACTTATATAAAACATCTGTCCGGAATTTATAGGTAGTCAATGAAAGGTAGTTCTTATTACTTTTCCCTACCAGTGCTGTAATACAGTATTTCTCTGTATCTCATTTCCCCAGAGTGAGCTCCTGGAGAAATATACCTTTGTCTCTTGCAGAGCCTTAGCATGCAATTCTGTAAAAATTTTGTGAACTGGTTTTTAATGTCTACAGTCAAAACCAAGCATGCTCTGTCTTCAGGAAAGTGCACACTTTACTCAGCATTATGTAGTGGAAAGATCATGGCACTTAAAGATGTTAGATTAAAACACAGCTTTACTTTTTCCAGAAAAATTGTAAACAGCAAAAATTTCTCTTTATAAGTCATAAACTTGTAAGGACAAAGACAACAGGCAAAGTGACAACAGCAATAACGCTTTTGGGAATGCAGAAGGAAGACTGTAATGGCTCATTTAGTAGGTAGACTCAATGAGGCTGCTAGGCTGGTAGTGGGGAGAGTGAAAGAAGTTAGTGAGGATGTACCAAGAAGCCTGAAAAGGCTCAAGAACTGCTGGCACCAGTTCTCTCTGCAAGCAGAAGATGGGCCTAATAAAGGAGGATTAGTTAAAGTTGTTTAATAAAGGCATAATAACATCAGGAAGACTAACAAAGTACATGAAGCAAAACTAACAGAACTAAAGGGAAAAACACAATTCAACAATAGCTCATTAACTTTAATACCTCACTTTCAATTATGAATAGAATAATGAGACAGAAGACCACAAGGAAACAGAAGAATTGAACAACACTACAAACTTAACAGACTTAACAGACATCTATAGAACATTCCACTTAATGGAAGCAGAATAAACACACATCTCCTTAAGTGTACATGGGACATTCTCCAGGACAGACCATATGCTAGGACATAAAATAAGTCTCAATAATTTGAAAAAGAAATGACCACAGTAGAATAAAATTAGAAATCAGTAACAGAAGGAAATTTGGGAAGTTATGCAACATATTCTTAAATAACTAATGGGTCAAAAAAGAAATCACAAGGAAATTAGAAAATACTTTGTGATAAATGAGAAACCAAAACTTACGGGATGCAGCTTGCATACTTTTTAGAGGGAAATATATAGCTATAAATGTCTGTATAAAAAAAGAAGAAAGATCTCATATCCATAACTAGCCTTCCACCTTAAGAAACCAGAAAAGAGCAAATTTAACTTAAAGCAAGCAGAAGAAAGGAAATAATAAAGATTGGAGTGGAAATAAATTAAATAGAGAAAAATCAATGAAACCAAAAATTGGTTAGCTTGACTGGCCAAGAAAAATAAGAGACAAGACTCAAATTACTGAAAACAGGAAAGAAAGAAGGGACATTACTATCAGCTTCACAGAAATAAAAAGAATTCTAAGGGAATATTATGAATAATTGTATGCCAACAAATCAGATAACCTAGATAAAATAGACAAACTCCTAAAAAGACACAAACCACCAAAGCATCTCAAGTAGAAACAGAAAAACCTGAAGAGACCTATAACAAGCAAAGATATTAAGTTTGTAACATAAAAACTTTTCACAAAGAAAAGCTGTCCCAGATGTCCTCACTGTGAATTCTACCATACATTTAAATAAAGCATCAACAGCAATCCTTCCCAGACTCTACAAAAAATAAGAGAGAATACCTCTCAACTCATTCTGTAAGACCAAGTATTACCTTAATACCACAATCAGACAAATCCATCATAAAAGAACCACAGATCAACATCCCTTATGAATACAAACACAAAATTCCTTAATAAAACAATATGATACGTGTAGTACACCATATTACAAGAATAAAGGACAAAAGTCACATATATTATCGTAATAGATACAGAAAAATCTAACACACTTTCATGATAAAGACAGTCAACAAATTAGGAATAGAAGAGACTCTTCTTTACTGATAAAGGGCATATATGAAAAATACAGTTAGCATCATACTTAATGGTGAAAGACTGAATGCTTCCCCTTAAGATCAGAAACAAGACAAAGATGTCCACTCTTATCACCTCTATTGAACACTGTACCAGAGCCTAGGAAGTTCTGTTTAGGTAAGAAAAAGAAATAAAAGGTATCCAGACTGGAAATGAAGAAATAAAACTACATCTGTCGACAAATGACATGATCTTGTATATAGATAATCCTAAGGAATCCACAAAAG